TTTAAAGGTTTAAAATAATTAAAAAAAGAGAAGGAACAGGTTTCAAAATTGTGTGGGTATTTTTCATTACAATTGATACATTTTGTTCTCAAACTGACGAGAGATGAAACGAGTTTTGTGTCCAAAATTGCAACTTCCTTTGACTGGGATTCCGTATATATTTTGTGTATAATCGCCATAGACTATTGGAATATAATAGAACATTCATTGAGTATTTCTATCATTTTTTTCCTAGATTACCATTTGTATTATTTTATGTGCGAATTACCAATCAGAATAATTATGTCATACAGGTCAGCAAAGAAGTAAAATAAAATGTTAACGGACGTTGTGTCAAGTTATTCCAGTATTTTGAAGTCACATTTATAGAAATGCCTACACATATGCTTAAATAGAACAACACGTATTTATAGTCCCTAGTCCACAAAATGAAACTAGACACTTGACAAATATCAGAACGCTTTTACGTGTGGGGAACCTGTTCATGTAATGAACATCATACATTTTCTATGCCGGCAGAGAAATAACGTCTTCATTAGTGGATGCTTTCAGAGTTGCAGTCTTTGAGCCTTGGTTTACAATAGCAGCGGTCCTCACACAATAGATTCCACTAACCACATTCAATTCATGTTAAGATTATTTTTTAGAGAAACGATACATATACCGCTAGCATGTTTCTCTTTCTAACGGTATACTGCGTCAAATTTGAACCAAGACAAAAAGCTATAACATACATGTAAATCTCTGTATCACATATATTTTGTATCTCCAACGATACTAGTACCATGGTGCGGCATGATGCGGCATGAAGGCTTTGTTGTTGTTTTTCGGCAACATTAATGCGTATGTTGGGAGAACCACTCGTTTAAAAGAAGAATCAGTCGATTCTACGCAAAATGCACGAAGGTTTTGTTAGTTTTTCGACAATTTCGTGAAAGAAGACTCTAAAAACCTTGCAAAATGTAGCACGCAGCTTGGCTAAACGAAAAATCATCCGATTCTAAGAGAAATTGTAGTCATAGCAGACAGGTCGAGTTATCTCCCATGTGGCGTACGTCATAGATATCGCCACATATATATATATTCGGTTCCTGATTCGATGATTTATTATATATCATATGTTGTATATTGATAAGTTGTTGAAGGTAGCCTCGCGATCGGTTTCAGAATAAAGGCATACTTATTGAACATATATCGTTGAGTCTGCTTATGACGCAGGTTTCAAGAAAGCCATAGATCTTGTAAAACATTTAAGTAAGTGTCAGAAAGATGGAAAATAAGACATCTTACTTAATGAACATTACTGCTGATGACGATTTTGTTTATTTGTTTAATTTTGTTTAACGTCCTATTAACAGCTAAGGTCATTTAAGGACGGCCTCCCCAGTGTGCAAGATGCATGCGTGTAGTGTATGTGTGTGTATTTTGGGAGGCTGCGATATGTTCGTGTTGTCTCCTTGTGATAGCGCGGGACTGATGCCGACTTTATAGTGCTACCTCACTGAAACATATACTGCCGAAGACACCCAGCAGGACGCTCCACCCGGTCACATTATACTGACGAAGGGTGAACCAATCGTCCCACTCCTAATCTGCTGAGCGTCAAGCAGGAGTAGAAACTACCATTTTTAAAGACTTTGGTATGTCTCGGCCAGGGGACAGAACCCAAAGCCTTCCTCACATGGGCGAACGCTCAAAATATGGCCGAAAGTGAGGCATTGTCAAGGCAGACATTAAGAAGAAGAAAGTTATTTAGAAAGGAGACAAGAGATAAGGTCCCAAATTTAGTCGCCTCTTACGATCATGCAATTGGGGGCAGCAGGTACAATTTTTACGCCCTACCTGCAGGGAAATCCTGATGACGAACACATAGTGACAAGTCATTTTCTAGCATGTACAGATGAGGTCATGGATGCCCTTTGAAATGTTCATATAGGAGCACGGGTAATAACCGGACATGTGTGAAATATATGCTAAAGATGTATATAATAATATACAATAAGAAATGGATGATTTTTGTTTTTGTCCACAGAAAAAGAAGATGATTTATTTTAAAAAGCACAACGAGAAAATCTTTAACAAAATTTTAATCATATTTAAACAAACAAAAAAGAAAACACCAAAGTGTCAATAAAGTTTACCAGAAATAAATAAATAAAATAAATAAATAAATATACAACATTTGATATAGCGCCCTATCTAGCTAACATAAGCCACTCTAAAGCGCTTTACAGTACATACATATACAATTTAATACAATGAATACAATTATCATGTACATTAGTCAATAAAATTTTGAGGAAATGCGAGATATTGTTTACGTTATATCATTTAATTAATGTATTTTCCACACGCAAACGTACAATGCGTGCTTGTAGCAGGTAATAAAGTGTTCCATTGAGTTAAATTAGGAGTGGTGCACACCTTAGGGCGTAAACTCCTATGACTGCAGCAAACCTATTGAACAAATTCTGTATACGTCTGCACTACACGTTTTTGAGTTGTAGGTCTTATCTAAGAAAGGATTACTAATGTAAGAAAAAACACGGATTTTTGAAAAAATAAACGAACTGACATGTGTTGTGGTGTTAATGGTTGGACGTGTCCACCCATGTTCACCCATTAAAAGCTACAGAGATGTAAACAAAAAGCTATTTTAAAAGATTATGTCTTAATAAAACTAATTCCATAACTTGTTTCGTTAAGGTGAATATAAACCTCAATGTTGAACCGGTCTGAAGACAATTTCAGATGATTTTTTGAGAATTGTTAAAAATAATCAACTTAATAGTATTCAAACGAGTGCATTCTCTTAAAGGCAATAGAAAATAATAGAGAAAAACATCTGTGCTTTTAAAAGAGGACCATGCGTGGAAAAAAACCCGCAGATAATAGTATAGAGTGTATATGCTTTGGAAACTCGTAATGAAATTAAGAGAATATGAGGATCGATATTCGTACTGATAAATCAAACGGGCTATACCGTAAACGTTGTTCTGTTTATCAGGATGCATAATTACCTCATTTCGTATTAAAGAACAGATATACTGAAAACCTACGGAACCGGTGGAATTAGCAAGCATCAGTGGTACCTGATCTACAGTCTATCAGAGATCACAAGTTGATGCATACAATTTGTTTTCATTGATAGAAAAATAACTTAAGAATGAAGTTACATTAGGTAAAATCAGTTTTGGCTTTCGGTACGATGTCAATATTGTTCTATCGGTGGTGTGCAGACATACATTGTGTAATCTCACAGACTTTACAAAGTAAATGTATTGAATGTAATAAAAATTATGAAATGATAAGTCGTAGAACTTTTGTGTGTATTGCTTCATCATATGTACTCATGTGTATATCGGTTTAGTGTCTAAACTATACTGCATTAAAGCTAAGTATTACGCGTACACTTGTTATCAGCTAAGCCTTACTACATTTGTATAATACACATATGTATAAATGTTTCTTATTGTACCGGGTACACGTGTTTTCTGTGTCAGTCTGATTATAATGTTTGTGTAATTGTTGCTTGTCTATTTGTACCTAATGTTTTAGTGTTATAATGTATTCATATATAAATATAATATAAACTTTATTTATTTTACAACAATTATGAAACAAGTTATTTCAACTTATATTAATCACTCTTGTTGGCCCGGATGTTAGTGCGCTCGGGGTCATAGTTAGTGTGGGAGGAAACCGGAGTACCCGGAGAAACCCCATGTAGTCGGGCAGATTACACCAACCTTTTCACGTCCGATCGGGGAATCGAACCCCGGTCGCCTTGGTGAAAGGCAAGTGCGCTATCCACTGTACCACCCGACCACCAATTATTCATGACTTGTATTTTATTTTTAAGTATCACGTATTACATCTATATATGTTTTCTGTTCTATTTCTGTAATATTATATTCGACGTATGTTTGTTCCGTCTGCTATTGGATGTTTATGTACACTTTTATGGTAGTGTTAGTATTGTATACATTGATGTGATGTTCGTATCGTGTTACCTAATACCTGTTTTGTCTAAATGTTGATTCAAATTTGAGGAAAATAAAGTATTATCTTAAATTGTTTCCTGTTTATACCGTCAAATAATCGCTGAATTACAACAAGGATGTTTTGAGCACGTGACTTGAGTTTAAGCAATAGAACGATTTTTTTTTATTAATACGGATCTTGATGTCCAAAATGGACAGTACGTTAATTATTTTGTTATTGTGAACCGCAAAAAGTAAAAATAAAAAAAAGTGAGAAATAAAACTCAGGATTAGAAAGCTAAATTTACAAGAGGGGGGGGGGGGGGGGGGGGGGGGGCATAATACATTTATACCTTTAGGGGACCCCATTGGACATGATTTTTCAATGGCTTTAATGAGCAATCCAAGGGTAATTATAAGCAAAAACACGTAAATTGTGTTGTGTATGACTTTTCCTGAATAATGATTATTATTCCATGTATTATCAAATAAGTGAAAATGGCCCTTCTAAGCAACCGTATAATAGCGAGTTTTTTAAAAAATATAACCTCCACATTCAACAGAAGCGGATCCAAAGACCTTTCTGGGGGGATGGGGGGTTTGTTCCAAATTTCTAGGGGGGGTGGGGTGGGGGTTCCATGTGGAGGAAAATGGTGAAAATACATGATTTTTAAAGAAAACTTTCAGGGCGCGGGGGTGTCCTGAAGCCCCAAAAAAATCTAGATCCGCCACTGATTCTTATAATTGTGGAGGTAGTTATAACAAAAACTAACAACCTTTTACCTAGTTAATTACCTCCTTCCGATCTACAAAAAGCTTCACAGCAGAATCTGTTTACTGTGAAGAAACCTACATTGTATGCCCCTTCGTTAATTTTCCCCTCATCGTACCCGATTAGATTTTTCGTTTCGAGTTCTTTCTGTCGTTATGATTTTGTGGATCAGTGATTACCCTGTCGAGGTGCCTCCTTTTAGCCGGTCATGGTTAAGCCTCTCCAGCGCCATCGATTTCCGTATCGTTGTCGGTTTAGTTAAGCTCGGCTGTGTGCAGAGAGCTATTTTTAGACTCTCGATTACTAGATAAACCGCCGGTGTGGTTTAAACGTCCTGGGTTCAGACCATTATATGTCTGTGTTGTTGTACTACGTACACCAGGATATTGACTACTATTTACTCCCGTAGTATCAGCCAGAACAGACGACACTTGAACATTCAGCGCTAGACACGTCTACCTGTCTATGGCTGCGGGTTTAACTTCGATAGCTTCCGGATCAACACACCAACACATCGTCTCTAGATCGACATAAGTGAGTGTACACACACTGTTTTATGAATGTTTCCCGTGAAGACTGAATGTGTTTCTTTGTGATACGATATGTAGTGAAGTCCATCATTAGACGTCTTATATTGATCACGATAAATGCCTAAAGGCTACTTAATACGCCAATATACGGAGGCCTATATGTGTCTACCGATACGTAATTAATATACAGAGGCCTGAATGTGAACACTAACACGTCAACTCTGATTCATTACCCATATACGGAGATAAGTCGGTCAATAATGAGTACGTCATCAATTTACTGTTGATGAAAACTAATTGCACCACAAGGATATGTAATCACTATATGGAGGCCTGTACGTGAACACTGATATATAATCACTATACGGAGGCCTGAAGGTGAACACTGATATCTAATCACTATGCGGAGGACTGTACGTGAACACTGATATATAATCACTATACGGAGGCCTGTACGTAAACACTGATATCTAATCACTATACGGAGGCCTGTACGTGAACACTGATATATAATCACTATACGGAGGCCTAGGACTACGTGAACATTGATATTTATGAAAATTGATATAGTGCCAGTGTAGGGAGGCATATTATAAGTGAACTCTTCTTTATTCACCTTTTTTCGAGGGCTTGTCAGTTAAGGCTGATTACACCACCAATATATGGAAACCTATAGGCGAAGCTTTATACGACACCAGTTAAGCAAACGACTTTCATCGACAATGTATTCAGGCATAGGGAGTATAGGGGATTATCGACCAGCGACTAACAACGGAGTGCGCCAGACGAACATGCAACACGGACTAGGATACCAGATGCGCAAGTCTAGAGGCATCAACTGGACACACGAGGAAAAGGTTGACCTAATATTACATGTTTTCTGTTCTAGGTAATATGTGTATCGTGTGGCTTTTTATTAGTTATCTCTGGGTAAGGAGGGGTCTACGGGCTCATATACCCCGTCTGGTTTGTATAGACCACGAGCCAAAGGCGAGGGGTCTATAAAGACCAAAGGGGTCTATGAGCCAGTGGGATCCCTCCTAACCCAGAGATAACGAATTTGTCACCCTGACAATCTTTTATAACATTTTTTCCTTGCAAAATTATAAGTCACTTTGTGAGTTTGAGTTGTACTGACTGCTACCAAAATAGCCCCTAGGCATTGAATAGTTTTCGGCAATATTTCGGACAAAACACAATCATCTTTACAATTAGCACACTAGCGGTCCCCTCATTGTCTGTTTCGTCGAATTTGCTGTCGTTTTAGATTGTTTGTAAGCTGTTTCAACCTGTGAATGATTTGCAAACATTGAACGCCTGCGTGTGTCGAAAGCCTTTTTGTTGTTATGAAGAGAGATTTAAGTTTGAGTTATTTCCCCTCGCACGGGCTTTTATAGACCCCGGCAGAACGGGGTCTATAGAAATATAGACCCCGGCAAGATATCCAATCAGAAAGAGTGTTTCAAATTAGAAGGGTGACACAGTTTGTTGTGTGTTATTAATATGTCTTTAGACCACAGGCCAAATATATACTACAAACACGCTATCACATGACCCGATTTACGCGATCCTGGTCCTCCAGACTTGGGAAAACATCTAAAAGAGTACATTGAGGAAGCTTTATTATTTTACAAATGTCTGAGAAGGGATTTAAAATCTGATCTTAGTGTGATGATTTAGCAATAGTCTGTCGTAGTATGTATCTCTCTACAGGTACACATACCGGAGATTTAAAATAGACAATACGACTTCTTCTTTAGAACTATAATTGCTAGAGCTTTGCTATTTCCATGTTTAAGCATAATCTGAAATGTACATATCCGTTCTTTGAATTCGGGCAATAACGGTACATAAAAAAGGTTTAACATTATATGTAACTTCTATATCTTACAGAATGTTATGGCACGAACAAATATCCCTACAATAATAGAAAAAAATAGGTTGAAGACTAAAATTTTGATCTGGATGATTTTTGTTCTAGGTCTTCCTCGTAAGACTTTGTGCGGCCAAGGCTCGTATCATTGAGGAGAAGAAGTCGGACAGCAATACGTTGAGGATGAAAGCAGCATGTTGGAAGGTCATATATGACCAGTTCTCCGCCAGGTTTGGGCGGAAACGGACGCTGGTTAGGATCAAAGAACAATGGAAACGAATGAAACTCGCCACACGAGCTGAGCAGCGAGACAGGGAACAAGAGGTAATGGAGTCACCCGGAAACGAAAGTTCTAATACACAAGAAACTGTACCTACCAAATATTACGGAGAATCAGCTGAAATAATTGCTCAAGTGAAAAACATATTGGGTCAAGTTGCAAACTCTAGCTTTAATTTAGTTCCGGTTTCACGAACTGAAATGTGTACCGGAGAAACAGACGCTGTGGCAGACGCACTTGTAAGGTACCCGGATATTGTGACTGGAGAGTTACCATCTGACGGCAGACATTCTACTCCGGAGCCTGAGCCGATGGTGATTAAAATTGAAATTGACGACGAGGAGGACGATGTGTATAGTGATGATCACAGCCAGAACAGAAATCCTAACTCTACCCCAGAACCAGATATAGGTGTAATTGATTTCAACAGGTAGGCGCTCGAGATGTACAATTGTAAACGTATCTTTAAACCAGGTAAAACTATCTCCACGATATCTCCATCCTCGATATCCAGGGGATACGCTCACGTTCGCTCTCTACACCCCTGGAATATGTCATAGCAAAATTGAAGGCTCAGTGTGCGCCACCTTGTGGATGAGACGAGAAGACTAGGATGGTCCTTTGAGGTACATCAAAAGAATCTCGCTATCGCGTAACGGTAAAAATTGACAGGCTTTGAAGTCGGGCATCTCTCCTTTGTAATCTTCAAAGGACAAGTATCAGCCTAGTGATTGGTCAGGTTTCTTACCTGACACCAATCAAATAGCTGGCCTCGTGCCTTCAGTTTTGCTATGACATATTCCAGGGGTGTAGAGAACGAAAGTGAGCGTAACCTTTGGATATCGAGGATGCGATATCACATGTTTTAAACAACAATACTACGCAGTGCTCTACACAAAAAATAATGAGCTTAAACTTCCATCCAGTTAGAAATAGCAATCTCGTTTCTTTTTGAATTTTTGGTAGTAGGTGCCATTTCATTTTCTAAGGAAAAACAATCTCTCCAGTAACAACTCCTGGAATTTTTTCATATTCTCATAAATACTGACAGACATAATGAAACGTTTCAGTAATAGGCAATACTTTTAGCTTGTAACTCCAATATCACCACAATTAGAAATCAGAGAGTAGAAATGCTGAAACAAATAACTTTAGCAGGTCCTATTAGTATAAAACAAATGTTCATGTACAGTTGTATTGTAAAATTGATAGCATCTGATTTTTAACTGTAATAATTAACCACTATTTTTGTCATGGCAGTCTTGAAGAAATCGTCGGCCCTGAACGACACGGTAACAGTGAACCCAACCCTGGGCATGATCACACACAAGCTTCCGGTTATGATCTTTCAACTGATGATATCGCTCAAAAAAGGTTTTCCATTGACTTCGCATCAGATACAAGGAGATCAACGCCGGAAGTACACATGCCTTCATATGATCCGGGACAGTCGTCGGAGCAGTGGGGATTTTTCCGGAAATCAAAAACCAACTCGCATAAAAGTGACCTTCAAGAAGACGCAAATAATTCCAGATCTGTCGTGGACGACACGGTGTTAGAATATGCAAGAATAGAGCATGAAAAGAAAATGGAGTATTTGAAAAAGGAACATGAAATGAAACTTGACATTTTGAAATTAGAAAGAGAGACAGCTAGAGCAAAACTAAGAAAGGCCAACTTCAAATTGTCTCTATCTGGAGCAAATTTACCCTCGTGATATCGATCTAAAATGTCCATGTGATGGTGCAAAATTGTCAGACAAAGTTTTTTCAAAGTAAATAGTTATACTATTCCTGTTAATATCATGGTATTTGATTTTATTTATTAATAGTTTGATCAAAATGATACGTCACCCTGGTGAAATAGTACCTGCCTCCTACCGACTTGGTTAGGGAAAATTACTCTTTAGCTCATTCGGTAGAGCGTAAGCTTAAGACTAGTAAGCCAGAGGTCCCAGGTTCGACTCTTGGCGGAAGCATTGAAATAATAATGATCTCTGTTAAATATTGACAACATACTATCGATACTTGCAAAGGAATCGCTATGACCACTGGAAAACTTCGAACGAGTTATATCCTAGAGGGGTACACTGAAGCATGGCCTCTTGGTAAAAAAAACCTAGCCGATTCCTACCGACTCGACTAGGGAGAATTATTTACTCTTTAGCTCATTCGGTAGAGCGTAAGACTAGTAAGTTAGAGGTTTTGGGTTCGACTCTTGGCGGAAGCATTGAAATAATAATGATCTCTGTTAAAATATTGACAAAATACTATCCTTACCTGCAAAGGAATCGCTATGACCCTTAGAAAACTTTTGACGAGTTATTTCCTGGAGGGATTATGTCACCCTGGTAAAATACCGACTCGGCTAGAGAGAATTACTCTTTAACTTATTCGGTAGAGCGTTTAGACTAGTAAGTCGGAGGTTTCGGGTTCGACTCTTGGCGGAAGCAATGAAATGATAATGATCTCTGTTAAAATATTGACAAAATACTATCCTTACTTGCAAAGGAATCGCTATGACCCCCGGCAAATTTGGGACGAGTTATATCCTGGAGGGGTGGCATGTAACATCGGTAAATTAGATTACTAGCCGGTTCCTATCGACTCGGCTAATGATAATTTCTCTTCAGCTCTTTCGGTAGAGCGTACATGTGTAAGATCTCTTTTACAGATATATTGCATATTTTCGTCCTAAGCTTATTGAACTCTTGACTACGTATACATTAACGTATACGCAGTGAAAAAAAGTACGCAAATTGATACTTGTTTAAAATATCGCGCCGGACTACTTCAATGTTTACGTCACGGTTCAGAAGGAAATCGGACTGATGTCAGCCGTTGCTTGGTTTCTTCAACATTTGGAAACATGGAACATATACAACAACAGGGTACTGGCAATCTCCCTTTTCCGTGGATATGCATTCAAACCTTCTCGTCCGTAATGTAAACAATGGCAGCTTCGTTCTCGAACATTCGATCGCGTCACCACCGGAGTAATATGTCATTGCGCGTAAATAAGGTCCATTATAAATGAGAAAGGTGTTCGAAGTTTTACCAGATTTATTAATTGGAAACTTAAAAGATATGAAAAGGGAAAAAGAGTGTTGTCCACGGCTTATTTTCTAAGATTACTAGCACATCGATGTAGATTCAGTGGAGTTATATTATCATAGCAATCACGTTTCGTAGCAACTTGCTTCGACTATTTTTCCTTCGTGAAAAATTCAAACAATATTTCAGATGTTAATACTTGTATAAGGCCTTCCTTTGGACGGCGTATACGTTGGTATGAACACTATTGGCCAGCGATATATTCTTTGCAAACTGCGTTCATTCTACCGTATATGCCGTCCAAATGAAGGTAAATCCTTATTAAAGTACTACCCTGTAGATATTATAAAAAAAAAGACATTTTCAATTTTCAATTACAGTTGTCATGGTAACCAAGTTAATTTGCATAAATTTGTGAAATTAAAAAAATATCAGCCAATAATTTGTTCAAGGTTCCCCCAGCTTTTTATCTTAGCAAACATAGATAAAAACATCTCACCGCCTACACATTATCCTACGATATAAAGTATGTTGAGACATACGCTTTATGGTTTCAAGACCATTCATAGTCTTTTGGACAGCGGTTCTCTTGATTTGTCCATCCACCATCCACCATCCACCATCCAAGACTATTTTCTTTTTTATTCTTCCGTTATGAAATCATGATATTCAATATGAATTTCTCCCTCAATTCTTTGATCGTCACATGTTGTACACAAACTATGAGAGCGAGGAACTGTATGCACTTGCATTGAGAGTTTAGCTCATTTGATGCCCGGTTTCGGTATAGTATTCTTAATATATTTCTCTTACATATTGTAATTGATTAAAACATGCGTGGATGTACGTGTACAAATAAATAAATAAAACTAACCTATTGGCTGAATATATTAAAACAAAATTTAGAAAGAAAATATTTATAACACAAAATTTAGAAGAAAAAAAATGAAAAGATACAATATAATATGTTTTATTAAAGTGATATGTTCATACATCGAAGCTTTATACTTTTCAAAATGTTTATCTTTTTATAACAAATGTAGCAACCAACCCAAAGGGTCTTAGTCCATTTGAAAGACACTTGCCGGATTATACAAGTTGTCTCGCTTGAATCAGAAATTGAAGCCAGAGAAAGAAGTATAAGGGGAGACAAATCGCGCTGTCTTGGATATTTATTATTTTTCTAACAGTTGTCTCCCTTTACTCAGATTGTCATTCGATGCAATGTTACTAGGATACGGTATCGGCACAGAGTATTTGGCTTTTATTTGTTGTCCTCCCGACGAACAGCGAGAAGATAATGAGTATTAACAGTAATCGTTGATAGATGTGCAGTTAGCTTATTGGGTCCTGTGATTTACCTGCCGTGTGTGTAGTAGTTTCTGACGGCTATCAATATTTGGAAAAAGAAATTCAACAATACATTTTTTTGAAACTGTATCCCAGACATTTTTATATATATTTTTCATTATCAGACTTTGTCTAAACGCACCCCAGAATTTGTCATAGCAAAATTGAAGGCACACGGCTAGCAATTTTATTGGTGTCAGGTAAAAAAAAACCTGACCAATCACTAGGCTGATACTTGTCCCTTGAAGATTACAGAGGAGCGACACCCGACTTCAAAGCCAATAAGTTTACCGTTACGCGACTGCGGGATTCTTTTGATGTACACCAAAGGATCAAACTAGTCTTCTTGTCTCATCCACAAGGTGGTGCACACTGAGTCTTCAATTTTGCTATGACATATTCCAGGGGTGCAGAGATCGAAAGGGAGCGTTACCCCTGGAGTATTGAGGATGACGAATACCCGAAACATTGGCTTGCTGTGGTAAATATGTCAAAAAGCGGCAAAAGATTTTGACGATGTGCGCTGGCACATTGAATACAACAAATTTTAGACTGAAATTCAAGAAAGTGTCCAGTAGGCATCCTGCGCCCTGGCTATCGTTGATGACCTTTTGTATGTGAATACCTTATTGGTTGACAGGTGGTAGTAAAGGTGTTAAAAAGCGACAAACGATGTTTTTTTTAAAGATTTTCATAACAAACAAATCGAACATATAGCCAGTCCAATATTGAGCTTGCCACATATTGAATACACCTATGTTAGGTGTATTTCATTGTTTTATATTTAGAAATACAATAGGTTCTTCTCCTACAATATCTTAATGTCAATGTTCTGAGACAGAATGGCGTTTACTTTCTTTCTTCCACACCTTATTGCATTAATATGTGTGAAAATAATATTCACAATTATGTTTTACTGTCCGATATACTTTGTAAACGACATATTGTTCTTCTCGACATTTTCATGTCATCATCGTCTTTGGGCTGAATGACGTTACATTATAAATGGTTACCGCATAAAAATCGTTGGACTTGCTTCACCTCCTGTTTCATATCGTAATTATCTTTTCTTTCCGAGACCGACATTGCCAAAACCATGCGTGAAAACTGAAAAATACAAAAGCATATAAGACCGCTGAAAAAAGCATTTAAGACATTTGAAAAATCAAAAGCCTACAAGACGGCAAAAAAATCCTCTTCGTGCATCTTAAGGAATCAACAAAGCTTCAAAATATATAAAGGGGTTTAGCTATAATATCGAAATGAGATTATGAAATAAGTGTTATGTTGAAATTGCTGTTTTTTAACATAATTCCACGTAAAAGTCAGTAACGGAATCATGGAAGATATTTTGTGTAACTATATCCATAAAAGAAGAATACCATAATTAATATCTACACAATTGGTTATGTTTTGTGTCTTACACAATTTTTGTGTTATATGTCTACACAATTGGTTATGTTATATGTCTACATAATTGGTTATGTTATATGTCTACACAATTGGTTATGTAATATATCTACACAATTGGTTATGTTAAATGTCTACATAATTGGTTATGTTAAATGTCTACACAATTGGTTATGCTATATGTCTACACAATTGGTTACGTTATATGTCTATACAATTGGTTCTGTTATATGTCTACACATAGGTTATGTAATATATCTACATAATTGATTATGTTATATGTCTACACAATTGGTTGTGTTATATGTCTACACAATTGGTTATGTTATATGTCTACACAATTGGTTGTGTTATATGTCTACACAATTGGTTATGTTATATGTCTACATAATTGGTTATGTTATATGTCTACACATTTGGTTATGTTAAATGTCTTCACAATTGGTTATGTTATATGTCTACACAATTGGTTATGTTATATGTCTACACAATTGGTTCTGTTATGTCTACACGATTGGTTATGTTATATGTCTACAAATTTGGTTTTGTTATATATCTACACAATTGGTTTTGTTTTGTGTCTACATGATTGGTTATGTTTTGTGTCTACACAATTGGTTATGTTTTGTGATTACACAATTGGTAAAGTTATATGTCTACATAATTGGTTATGTTATATGTCTACACAATTGGTTCTGTTATATGTCTACACAATTGGTTATGTTATATATCTACACAATCGGTTAGGTTTTGTGTCTACACAATTGGTAAAGTTATATGGCTACGCAATTGGTTATGTTATATGTATACACAATTGGTTATATTATATATCTACACAAGTTTTATGTTATATGTCTACACAATTGGTTATGTTATATGTCTACACAATTTGTTATGTTTAGGTGATGAAAGCATTGTTTTTTCCTCGTTAATATATATACAGTATATTGGTCAAGTATATATAAGTAATAACAACAGTTTGGTCCAATAAGGGCACTGGATACGAACAAACATGTTGGTTGGATACGTACTACCTAAATTAACATATGGGCAAAGAAGTAATACTGAAGGTGCAGGTGCAGGCAAAGCAGTGTGTCAGGTTTTCAGGGCTATCTGACACTTTTTTCAACAAAGAAACATGAACACTTACATATCACAACATATACTAGAGATAAACAGTCACTATGAAACAATGAGACAACAAAAATACATGAAAAGTTACTTATACAAAATCGTTCGATCAATGAAGAGTTTTATTGATATTGTTATGGTACGAAATTTACTGTCTTTTTACTGTCAAAATCGCAGTGATCAAGATAAACAAATGTCATATTGATATGGTTTTCATGAGAAATAACTGTTAAATTAATTATTCATCCTTACCTGATGAGATACTTGTACATTGTGAATTCTTCAAGTTGAACCTCTGTCCTTTTCCACATATTGTTGATAATATAACGTTCAGGATAGATTTAGCGAGCGACTTTTTAATTCCGTTTGTTTGTTTATCTGTGTTTATTTCACTTGTAGTGACCTCATCAAGTCCTGTTGTCAAAGATGGCGTCTCTAATGTTGGGGCCATATCTGCAAATATAATATTTAAATTGTTGAAATCACCTAAATATTTTTGTTCGAACCATAATGAACAGACCTTCGGTTATACTTAAGTATCATGCCCAATGTTCTTTGTCGAATATCAATCCCATTAAATACGTTGTTTAATATGCAATTTCGAAGTTAAATGTTGATTCCTGATATTGATATACATGGATAGACATTATGCAGCACTTTGTATATATGCTCTCAAAACAGCGCTTGCATTTACATTTTTATCAATTATAGCATTTAATCTATTGCAGTGATGAAAATATTAAAAAAAATATATAAAAAAGTATTGGCATTGAGGAAGGACATCAACAATTAATAGTATTTGTTGAATCCTCTATTGACAATCAGTGAATAAATATAGGAAATATTTTGAAAGTGATCAATAAAACCTATAAGGTCCTTTATATTCGTTCATACATTATTATGTATAACAATGAGAGTTGAAGTAATATGTAGTCTGCTTTAAACACGCGTATTGACAATTTTCAAGGTACTTGGCGTATCATGGCATAGTGATACAGAAATATAAAATATGCATGAATACAGTGATTAAATATATTTAGCAGTTATCATAATTTGTCATTAAAAGTGCGAGACCGTTTCATAGCTTAAAGCACTTTTTGACAGTATCTTGTGCGACAAAAGGTATAATTATTACTCACGTGGTTGACTCCTAGCTTCGCAGACAATGAGAAAACAGACAATAGCCATAGCAAAGTACAGAGTAGCCATCTTTGTCATAGTGGACAAAGTGTGGTAGTGAGCACAGATAAGTGTACGATTGTGATGACTTTTTCCTTATGATGTCTCCTTTTATATTCACAAACAACTCTGTTTTTATATATTTCAATTGATAAATTCAGTTTGACGTCAAAGAATATAAAATTAAAATAACACACTTTGCTCCTTCGCCGTTAAAGCTATTACTGATGAGATTAACTTCTATTCACCTGTCCACACCCATTCAAGACATTACCATTAATCGGATTGAATTTATAACATATTAAGTATATTGTTCACCGAACCATATCATCTATTATTTAAATGTGTACTTACACATAGTGCATAAATGACCTGATATGGATTTTTTTCTGAAGTTAAATGACGTAGTACATTTGTAAAAGCGTAAATAATGAGTTACTATTGTCTTGATAAAATGTATTATTCGACACTGATAAACATGTTACATGTATTTCACAATAAGCCAACCAGGTGATAGATTATCAAAAGTAGCAGCGTATTATTGGAATTATTGTTTTTGCAGATTACATATCGTTGTTTATACAGTGTTTTATTTCTTAAATACGGATTAAGGTTAAGATCAGACCTAATTGCTCACAAATGGCCCTCCGTCTTTATCACACAGGTAACATACAATGGACGATAGTTATGAGCATATACAAAAATGAGCAAATGTGAAGTAAATTCATAAGACATAGTAAAACCAATAAATTACATGTCGGAAATAATGTGGCAGATTTTTTATTCACATTGCGGATTACGGTCGACTCCGCACTAAAGGAAATTTCCCTTCAGCTCAATCGGTGTAAAATGGCGGACTGGGAAGGTGGAGTTTGTGGGGTCAATCCCCGAGGCACACTAACCTCTTTCCTGTTACGTCACACACAAATGGTGTCCGTCGCCCTCCCTGTGGAAGTAGGGAGCTAGGACCCGGTACATTAAAAAGGGGGAAGTAGTGTGATATATTTTAGTTGTACATAGGGTTACGGTCACCTTCTAGGTTCGCGCTGGAGGAAATGTTCCTTTAGCTAAATTGGGAAAGCGGCGGACTGCGAAGCCGGAGATTGCGGGTTCGATATCCGGCGAAAATACATTACTCTCGTTGCTGTTATATATGCAATGCTGTTACATATGCAATTGAGAAATGTTGCAAGATAAATATCAAACTTGATTTTACAAATATATAACTAATAGGAAAACAGTTTAATCAGCTTATATTTAAGGTACCGTGCCGTTAACCTTCGCTCTTTTTTCTTTTCAGCAGGATACATTTGGCGTTTCTGATTTTTCTTACATAACAAACATTATTATTAACTTTCTGTTAATACCACATTCAGGAAGTGAAACGTGTCAAATATATAAAACGAAAATTGGATATTTTACAAATTATTTACCATGCGCCAACCGCCCCTGCAGGTCGGGGATCGAGAAATAATACACCAGCTGTATCCCAGGCGACAAATGCGGGAACCCCTGCAGAATTTTTGATTTGCTTTTATGCCTTCTACTTGGTGACACAAAAACGACCAAATAAATCTGCTGCACCCATTGCAACATTTCACCAGGTGAGGAAGGCAATGGGTTCTGTCCCCAGGCCGGGACATACCAAAGTCTTTAAATTGTAGTTGTTTTTTTCCTGCTGAACGATCAGCATTGAGGGTAACGGCAACAACTGGTTCACCCGTTGTCAGTATGATGTGACCGGGCAGAATGCTGTGCTTGGAGCCTTCAGCAGACATTTCAGTGAGATAGCACTATAAAGTCGGCATCAGATCCACGCTATCACAAGGAGGCAATTACACCATCATACCCGGTCTCAAGCATACACACACACATGCACGCTTACACAACACACATGGATGCACGTCCTTAAATGGCCTTAGCTGTTAATAGGACGTTGAACAAAATAATACCAAACCAAGCATACCCAAACACTTATGATAGATTGGTGATGTCAATTCTTAAACATGGTCGACGGAATTTGCGATCAACAGCACAATACAGTGAAAGTGGTCATCGAAGAAGCCTTCGAACAATTTGAATGAGCTCAAGGATGAAACGGGGTTGGTGCGCCTCTAAGAGTTGTGAGACTAGACAGATGATACCTAAATCGGCTAAGAGCAACACTCAACACGTGTATTGTATAAGCGTAACCTTTGATGCAGTCGGAGATATAGTCGTTGTGCGTTGGATTCTGCTCCCGTTACATCTCGTGAAATCGCGTATGCATAATAATGACATAAACGTGGCCTCTAACGTGATTCTGGTGAGATGAGTAGCAGTCGAAATAAGGCTTCAAACGCTTATACTTGACATCAATATAAGTAATTGAAATTGTAAATCTTTTCATTCCAATATACTTATAGTTTTCATCGAATTTTATGACTGTATGTTTAACCATAGTTTCCCGAGAGTAAGCGGCACCGTTAATTTAATCACTCATCTTGATATAACCTAACCTTTCTTACATGTATGTACAGGTTATATAAACCTTAGTTTAAAATATTCAAAATTCCACTTTACAACATTTAGAGGTTTATCATCACTTTCAATATTTCCAATAGATTAATAAATGAAAATTTGATTTCTAAGGGTTTGTGCATACAGATATATTATTAATTATGACATGAAAATGTGTTTCAAATTGAAGTCACACTTTGGTAGCGTCATACACAAACGTCAGAAAGTCTCACGGCCGAATTCAGAACGACTGTTGCACACAAACTTTGGATAGTGTCTTTTATAGCTGGTGACTGAACTGCGTCTCGGAATTAATATTGATATCGAATATAAACCAAAGATGTTCCCCCCATACGAAGTGTTCAATTTGCATTGAATTGACAGATTTGACGCCGCGAAGTTCGCAACGGAAGTAGTGGCTTTTGTCAACAATACCGTCATAAAACTAACAGAGATGAGTAGTGAAAATGTGGCAGGAGCAGAAAGGGTTTTAAACTGTTTGTTATGCTGGATATTACTTACAGGGCTGTAGTTTTTTATGCTCTAGTGATTACAATGCCCAGTGACCTGTGCGATCTTGTTTGCATCGATGCTGTTTTCATTGTGTTCGTCAACCATAAGTTAAACCACTGATCACCGCTATTTACAGTTATCTGTTTAGTGTGAGGGGTTACATTGAAGGAATCGCCATTTTTATCATCACAGTAAAAATGTAGTTCTCGTAGGAATAAGTTACCTGATGAATAAGATGTTTGAAGCGTAATGTGTAAAATATAGCATAACTCAACATACAATGTACTAGATACTGCTACATTGTACATCACAAATAGCAATGAATCTATGTTTTAAGACGAATGTAAGGCACACATATGCGATTGCATTTATAAGTTCTGGCACATGTAATAGATACAGTTTGCCTAACAAAATAATGACATTGCACCATACCGCTGTTTCGTCCTTGTAGGACTCATTGGTAATGCTAGGGGCCACTTAGTAAATGTTCTGACACACTAACTCGGATCTGAACAGGTAAGTAATGACGTTGTATAACCTACCTCTCCTGTATAATAATTGATGTAGCAAGTACGATTAAATATTACATTTGAACATCAAGAATATTCAAAATGTTCATGTCATTTTAGCTCAATTTAATGGGGGGGGGGGTGTATTCAAAAAACGTCCTATTTCCCTGTCATTTTATTCCTCTCTACGGATCACATTATACATTGTGATGTATGTTGTACAGAACTTACATTTACATTTTAAATTCACTTATTATTGACAAAATGACAAGGATGCCTATTATGTTATTTTTATCATCCGAATTTCCGTAAATTATTCATTATATGGTAGAATGTATATATTTATACGTTTCGCACATACATATAGATTATTCAAATGAGAACTACATATTTGTTATTTCTAATATCTGCTTCTGCTACATAATCATAACAGTTTTGTTAAATGATATTATTACGTGATATATAGCTAAATTTGATATAATGCCCATCTATTATATACTACAGTTTAAAAAGCTTTGATAACTGTCACACATTAATCGTCCTCGATATCCAGGGGTTACGCTCACTTTTGCTCTCTACATCCCTGGAATACGTCATAGCATAATTGACGGCTCGGTGTACGCCATCTAGCTCGCTCCTTTGATATACATCAAAAGAAGCTCACGGTCACGTAACGGTAAAAATGACAGGCTTTGAAGTCGGGCGTCTCTCCTTTGTAAGCTTCAAAGGACAGGTATCAGCCTAGCGATTGGTCAGGTTTTTTATACATGAAAACAATCAAACGGCTGTCTTTGTGCCTTCAATTTTGCTATGACATATTCCAGGGGTTTAGAGAGCGAAGGTGAACGTAACCCCTGGATATTGAGGATGCATATTATTATGCAGGTATTTCTCTCAATATAATGCCATTTGTTACTTCTTAATAACACTAAACCTTGATTTAAAGTCTTACTTTTATGCACAATAAAACATAAAGATAATGTCACTACTTTATATACAATATCCTCGTTTAAACACTGTAAAACTTCAACATTAAGCCCTTGATTAATATACACTTGAAATGTCGAAACAATGTCTTTCGGTTATTAAGTTAAACTTCGAAAGAATGCCAATGCCTCTCGTTAACATAAGGAAATGTTAGATATACATTTAATGTTTATTGTTGTATTTCCCTCGTCCTTTCTTTTTAATCAAAGTATTGCAAGGCTTCATTCACGTGTCTACCTTGCACTATCGTCCGATAATATGTCCATAAAACGGGGTTTTATTGAAGATGGTGGCATTGTACAAATGTATCATGGTATTCAATGATAATACTGAAATCATAACGTATCGATTGATAAGATCAATGTTTTAGGATGAACGCAAGGCGCACACACACACGTGATTGCGTTCATCAATTTTGTTCATGTGATATGTACTGTTTACCAACAGATAATTACACTGCCTCATACAGCTGTTTCGTCACAAATAAGGGCAAAAAAGGTAAAAATCAAAAACAATGTTAAAACTACTGTTGTACAATAGAAGGGGCGCTAGTGCGTGTGGGATGCATAAAACCCATTAATTATTAAAATTTCAAAAACTAATACTGTATATTACTAATATTTATCGCACACCTAATATCCCTGACTGACCTTACTGCACTTTATGTACTTATATATAAGTAAGGATCACTGTCAACTACAGGTAAAATAGTACAGTATATCCATCGAGTCCCTAGTCACGTCGGGGAAACAGTTTCAAATTAAAAATTTAAGTTTTCGGCAGTGGTACGAAAATCCTAAAGGGCACCAATACGCGTTTCATCCAGCGAGTATGCCGTAGGTTATGTTTAACAATTGTTTGCGTGATATTTAAATTATCAACCGACTTTTCATGTGCATTCACATAAAAATAAATCGCACGCAACCTATAGGCATTCACCAGTATAAGGCAAGGATGAAAATATTGAATCATATCCAATAAATGACTTGTGCAAATATATCTCGATTAAATATGATACCCCAAGTCAATACATAATACAAATAGCTGTATTGATTTTGTTATCTAAAATTTATCTAGAATGTACACAATTTATTATTAGTTCTATATATATATATTTGTACATTCTGTATTATTGATTTTAATGTTAATATCACAACCGAATTAGACTATCTGCAATAGTATATAACACAAGCAACGATATCGGGAGATTTTTTTCTGTCGCTACATTGAAATGTTAAACTTGTCAGAAGAGTAATGTGCATATACATTGTAAGCCCTGAGTAGCACGTACTTCGAAAAAAATACACACTAATACGTAAATCATTGTAATGTAAAATCCATTAGATTGAGCTTGCCTTATTTCGTATTTCAGATCACTACGTACGTTTTGTATTCTAATCGGCACCTTGGAAGATTCTCGATAGATGCTTGACACATTGTTGTCTTATCAACATCAAGATAAATGTGTTAAAAGTATTGACATCTTAACCTGAATTAAACGAAACTCGTTCACAGTGATATCTAAAACATTGCATTGAAACCACGATTGAACATATTTTGGAATGTTTTAAAATGTCTAGTTCTTATATATATTGTTGACGTTGTATCTATTTCAAAGGTTGACCTATATATGCGCCATACATAATCAGTAGCACAAAGAAAAGGTTTTAAGCCTAACACTGTACGGTTCTTTAAGCTGGTGATTCTGCATATGATATAAATGCACTCGCTTTAACTTATTGCATCTCCTACCATTACTAGTCGTTCATAGTATCGTTAATCACATAGACCTCCGCCACTGTAAGTGTTAGGAACGCTAGTATTGTGAGTCTAAATCCTGCTACAATAACGACCTTTTGTGGTGATCAATTGATGAAATCAAAAGTCTATCAGTGCGTAGAATTTATAACCTGACCTGGCCTTCATCAATACTATTTACATTTGTCCATTTCACATACGAGTTGATACCTGGTCGGTGTCCCTTTGATAACGGCTATCCATAAATGGCCAGGATTAATATCGAACTAGCCATACTTAGTAACTACTCTTGACACACTGACTTCAGATCTGAACAGGTAAGCAACACTTTTGTAAAACTCATCTCTCCTTGATAATGAATGATATAGCATCGACGATTAAATATTTAATTTAAAAATCAAAAATATCCTAAAAATTTAAATCATTTTAATTCCATTTCATGTAAGTTTTAAAAAATTCAAAAAACGGCCTATTTACCTACCATTTGTATTCCTCTCAACGGATTGTATTTCATTGTAAGTATTAAATCTACAATTTTCACGTACTTATGAATTAGTCAAATGACAAAGACAACTTAACGTTAATTGGATCGTCCGGATTTCCTTAAATTATGCATTACATGGTAGAATGTTTGTATTGCCTAATTAAAGCTTAGTATATACATTTATGTTATTCGAATGACAAATTCATATATTTTTTATGGCGATTTTCGCAAACACTGCAGAAGCATTTGGTCCAATTATCAACAGTGTTAAAGTCTGCAGCCTACTTGAGTTGAGTTTGAGATTAAGTTTCTGAAGTAAGTATGGTTAAAGTAAACAGAGCTCAAACTTGGCATGATAGGCTCAGAGTGATTGTAATATTAGGATATATACCGGTTCATCTAACTTCCCGGATGACTTTTGTTTTTACATTTAAACTTATTCATTTATCTGTCTACTCGTCTGTAACAAGAAGAGTATTGATTTAAAAGTAATATCGCTACTACATCTTCCATTAAACTCCCCGTCCATGCGTCTGTATAATTTTACAAATTTCACCGTTCTTTCCATGCGTTCGTATATTTTTTCAATTTTCATTCTTATTGTCATGAATTTTCATGAAATTGTTTGTCATTTTATTTGGACCTATATGGCTTAACATGTTCAATTCAAGCTGTATATGAACCCGTATAATTCGACAGTCTGTCAAATCTGACCTACGAATAGTATAACTTTTCTCATAAAACCTCTGTAATCAGAAACCTTAAATAATCCATCAAATGTGTTGGTTCTTACAGGTGTCGGATTAAATACGATTGACTGTGTCTATAACCGAATGTACTGAAGACATTCCAAGAATGTGTACATTTTGATATTCAAATAATAAGCACAGAAAGAAAAATATAATCATTTCATTAAAAAAAGAGCAGGCACTTTGACCTCATAGAGAGTAAATAAAACGTATCTCGAATATTCAAAAACTTATGTATAAGTTTTTTCCATACTCGTACAACTTCAAAAACCATGGTCGTAGTATCCGATACATTCTGTTACTTATTTGAGAATATATAATATATTACTAAGCTTTTTTACCTTTGATATCTGCTTAATCCTGAGTATTTATAAATGACTTTATATATTTACTTATACGTACTTTAATCAAATGATAATACAATTATGTCACATGTGTTGAAATTATTAAATTGATGAAACAGAATCATTTTCATAGATCAGAAAAAAGTTAATATCAAGACTAAAATAATTAATAAAAGTAAAATTGTTCAACACTTGCAATATGTTATCAGAAATATCATTAATAGATTAAAATGATTAATATTCAAAATCTGAGGTACATATTTGTAAATATTTTTTTGGTAACAAGAAAAAACACTTGGCGTGATGTTTCATACAATTTGGGTAGGGGCGTAAATGTTATAAAACTCTGACAATCTAGGTTATCCCCACTGACGGCTATTTAATACTTGTATTTGCAGTGAGTTCTAACGCGTCAATTTAATATTGAAAGAAAGTGGCAATATTTGAGAAAGGCTTACTTCCATTTGAACCTTAATCACACTGAAAATCACTGAATCCTGAGTAATGCGAATACATTTACATATATTTGAAAGGAATATTTCCTCTTTATTTATATATACATCGATACTCGGCTTTACCCGCACAAATTATTTCAGAAAAGGAAACATGTGTATATAATATACGATTTCTTATGTTAATATCTGTTATTGAGTTTAGTTTTCCATTTCAGTTGAGAACCACTCTATTGCACCGCAGGGAGCATGGAAACAGGGGGTAGATATAATACATATAACGCATATATTTGATTTTGAAACATGTAAGGATCTAAAAGTGTGAAATAGTGTTATTGAATATATTCACTGTTTACAAAAATGATACGAAGTCAAAATGATTGATTCGGGGAAAGTAGAATAGACCGAGAGGTAAGTTAATTTTGCGCTCTTCAAATGTCAAATCTTTTATGAAAACAACATGAAAGAGTCGTCAAATCTAGACGTTCTTAATAGACATTATGGAAATAAGGAGGCGAAAAACTGTAGAAGATTGCTTCACTCGGCTCCAGTGAGACGGAATGGAGGAAACCGACAATTGGATAAAGTTACTATCAACAATTCTTTACTTTTGGACGATTTAAGAGATAGACCAGAATGGATAAACCATCAAGGTGAACATGGAATTCAGATAACCATGGCAACAGGTCGTCATAATTTAAAACGAGAAATGACGAGTATTACTTGTCACGAATCTTGCATCCCTTTGTGTTATTCAAGGGACCACACGAACGTTTCGGGAATCTCGTCACGAAATACCGTCACACCGTTCCTGATAACACAACGACAGAAAACAAAGAACTGCTGGGCCAGTGAACGCGGGAGAAGGGACATCAATTCCGCAGTAATAAGGGAACGTTTAAAATCTGAAAGATCACGACGGCGATCAGCGAAATCCGCCGAAGGTCAGGAAAGAGCACGTCGTCAAAGTACAGTGTCAACTGATGACGGGGACAAAGAAAGGCAACCAAATGTACAGGTAAGCGTTTTGAACGGATTTATGTCTTTTGAACGCAAGTTATGTATTCTTCATATAGTGTATTATATAACCGTATAAGGATCCGTATTAATGATATTATAACAATTTTCTAAGCGTGTGTACTGGTTAATTTAGCACAACCAGTTAAATGTTTATGAGTGACGTGTTATGAATAGCACGATACATACGTTATTATCTTCGTAAGAAACAATGGTTTTGTCTGATGAAGGTTACAAAGTACGCACGTGCATGTATCGTGACAGTCATTGAAAGTCAATACATAAATAGTTTACTGGCTATAGTAACGTGCTAACAATCTTACCAACCTGAAAAATATGTTTTAAGATGTTGCTAAGCCTAGACCGATCGAACTTTATCTATATCTATATATGCCAATGCGTCATCTGTATTACCATTCTTCAAATTCAAGTTCAAATCGTCACCAACCATCCAATCTATGTAGAAATTTAATTCCACAGTGCAATTAAAACATACGTATCGACATCACTCTACGAGAGTTATGAGAGACTGTCAGTGAGAAAGTATTATTTGCACGTAACATTAGCTGATATTTTCAATCTAGAATGGCATTAAAGCGGTACTATACAATATACAATTGATTACCAAGTTTGCTAAGAATCTCAGTTGATTATATCAGGAATGAGGTTTATCCGTTTGGTATGGATAATAACAACTAAGTTTGTTTTGAACAAAAGCAGTAATTGCGAGATTTCGAAAACGTCTGTTTCCTTTGTCAAGCAAAGACCATCCATTGCACCACAAGTAGGGGTGGGTTTACCAAAGTCCATGTAAAAGCTGTAACTTAACAAACATTCGGGAAACTAGCCAGAAATTCAGGACACGACTACAAGAACATCAGAAAGACTTGAAGCAGTAAGTCTACACTAGAAATACAAGGAGGACAACGGAGAAACAATACATTGAATCAGTTCTTATAGAACATGCTTAAACACACAAGCTCATCATAGACTGGCATAAGTGTTTGAAAGGGTAGAAAACTGGAAAGTGAGGAAAATCAAATAATCCATCGGGGATTGGAGGGAAGGGAAAGCGATGTAGTGAACGGGGGAGGCCACCAGCTGAGTCATTTTTATAACCCGAATTTAATATCCAATAAGGGGCGGAATGGGTTACCATATTACATATGCGTACTCGTCCCTCTGCCTGTAGAGTGCTATTTGGCGAAACCTCTTCATAATTTCTGACAGCTTAATTTACTGACTCGACACATTGTAGCTTAGTGGGTTGTTTTTTCAGCAGTTTTGAGTCGAAACACCGGTCAATTGCACTCTTTACTTGACAAATGAAACAGATGTTTTCGAAAGCTCAGAAAAAAGTGTTCAGTTACTTTTTCTGTTCAAAACAAACTTATCAGTGATTTTACTATACATTTTGTTTTGTAATATTTTGTATTTGCCCTTTTGTACTTTTGAATATACTTGCGCTGGATCAACGACATACTCGACTCGAGGTACGGGTATTCGATACATACCAGTTCGTAATACAAATGCCGACTATATGACAATGCTACAAATCAATGATTATAAAACTAAGTAAGAATTGTGCAATACGTTAAATGTGCTAAAGTAAACAAAACAAAAACAAGAAAAACAACTAAATAACAAATTAGAAAATACTTTTTAAAATACATATTGTAATATCTACTTATTGAGATAATTTAGTTATTCTCTTTTCTCCTATTAAAACATGTAAAATAATATAAAGCATAAAGAAAGTGTAGTTTATAGTTCTGTGCAACTTTGTATGAAAATAACGGTTAACAAAATAAAACTAGTTGAGTTTTTCTAAACAAAGAATGTTACCCCTAAACATTTACAGTAACCTTCGTTCGACATTTAAATGGCTAGCTACAAATGTGGTTATGACAAAGTTCAACACCCTACCTATGGTATACAAGTATTAACATTAACATCGTCAGTAAATATCGAACATGTTTAAAGTGAATGTCACCGAGCCTAACACATTGTACGCATGAGTGATCTTTCTTCAGAATCCATTTCACATATTCAAATCATAATATGAACTTGTACAGAAAAGCAGGTATAAGGACTCCATATCACCATGTTTTATTATCATACTTTGTATTTATATTTGTGGTCATATTCAGTTCACGTTTAATGCGGTTTGTATTGAAATTAATATCAGTGAGGTGAATTTATTCAGCAAAAAATATGATAGTAATAATATAGATATTTATTTGTTTACAGGGCTTTTCAATTCATTCCGTAAATGTTTCGATAGTTATCTAACATTTCTGCTTTACAATAGACTTACGTCTGACTAATGAGCATGCGGATTTAATCTCTCCTTCAGACGATTGGCGAATAAAAAACACGAAGGTCACTTAAAAACAACAAAATGTTGACGTGTCAAGATAACAAAGCAGAACCAAGCAGATGGAAAAATCGGTCAAATTTATATCAAAACAAAACGTCACGTGTTGTTTGTTCAGAGATTGGAATACGTGCGGGCTTATTATTACGTTATGAATTACATGGAGTGCTTTTAAATACCGTAAATGCACGATATACTGTCCCTTGTTTATGTACCATGTTTATCCACCTTGCTTCTCATCCTTCGATCTACCCTTTCCCGTGTGTCTTTACGATGCCTTCATATGTCTCCCTCGAAACCAAAGTAATTTATAAAGCAATAATTTCGCGGGATAAATAATTGCAGTATTATAAGATTTAGATTTTATTAATCCATTTCTCATTAAGACACATTTATTGAATAACAATTAAAGCAAATTACAAATAAGTTCTCACAATTTGCTATTGAAACTAACGCATGTATTTGTTGTTTTATGAGATTTATAGTTTGATTCAAGGATTTGTTTGATTTTGATTTTGAAATAACATTGTCAACACCTGTAAAAGATTAACAAGTAATCTACTGTCAGTGTATTTGTTTAACTGCATATTGGAAGTGCTAGAAGCTGCTACATGTAAAAGATGTTTGATGAAGCAGGGAAGCATGTAATTGACTCATAGTGTAGCATTTCAAAATACTCAATACAATAATACGATTAACGTCACGTTTACCACAATTGGTACACTTTTGACAGTTTTTTAGTGATCTTTAAAAATTCAGATCTTGTATCTGGAATGTTTCTTGATTTTTGACAAAGACTACCTATGGTGGTTCATTTTCAGGAAAAGTTTTATATCTAAGTAATTTGTTTTTGAAAATAGAACTCTAGACTCGAAGTGAGTATTCGTCCGTTTTTCGGCCGTAAATAGTACCCAAATTGGTACACCATATCACAGGCTATGTAATTTGTTTTTAGTTCTACAAGTTGATGTGCCGATTACAACACAATATATTGCTTTTAAAGATACCATACTGAACTATAATTGTGTATATCCACTTTTTTATTGTCCGATTATCAGGACCAGAAATCAACATTTAAACATGCTTATATTTAACCCCTTGAACATCCTCCAAAATTTCATCGACGTACGTCGTTTTTACTGGTTTTCTGATATATTTACTTTGAAGTCATCGTGTACTCTTATAATGTTCCTGAAAACAAAACTATTCGGCAGAAATGCTGATAAATATCGCTTTTGTTATACTGTCAAAGGAAAGTGCTCAAATTTCGTTGTAAAGTACAATTCGAACAATTTTCTGACCGTGTACCAATTTGGGTAGTGCACCAATTGTGGTAGCGTGACGTTATCTTTTTTTTCCACATATCCTTTCTCCAGAATGTTAGAATTTGAAATAAAAATACTTTATTTTTCCTTGACATCAAAGATAACCTAAACTATTTCAAAAGAGAAGACAAGGACTATGTCAAATGTATTTCTTAAAATAGTCCTCATAAAGCTTCACTACAAACTAAACTTGTGGTATATCTATACTCATTGTTATCTTGATGGACACTTTGGTATTATTAATAATTTATTTATTTTACGCTTTTCTATGTGTTTTATAGTTCTGTGTAACTAATTAACAATATTTACACGATACAAGGGATGATTGAGTCTTGCAAAAGTAGAATTTAGAGAAATGGGTGAAAATATTAGATAATTTAAGATGTATATTTTCCATTGATTAGGCAATCAGTCGTTTCCGAGTGGCTATCCTATGTGTACGGATACTTGTCCGATGGCTGCGGATTATCATCAACATCAGTAACCGTATGACATCACGGACCGCAACGGAGGAACAGTGGTACACTTTGTACAATAGTAACGAGGCCCGGGCTCTTGCCTTCAACAAAGCCATGTTTGCAAGGGAGAGGGTAAGTAGTTCTACATTCTTGGTTATCATGATTATCATTTATTGTCTGTTATTAAGATCATATTGCATATAAAATACTTCTAGCTGTGAACATAAACCATAATGGCTTGCGCGCTCTTGTTTTTGCTAAATATATATTTGCTTTGAGCTCTCTGTACATGAATGTGCTTGGCTCGCTCCATAGATAAATCTGCCTTGCTCTCTCTAAACATGTTTCTGCCTGGCTCTCTACTAAGTACCTACTTGGCTCGGACCATACATGTATCGGCTTGGATCGCCCCATACATATATATGTTTTTCTCGCTTCATACATGTACAGTTATGTATCTGCTTGGCACGCTCCATACATGTACTGTATCTACTTGCCTCGCTCCATACAAGTATCTGTTTGCCATGCTCCATACAAGTATCTTTTGGCTCGCTCCATACATGTTTTGGCTTCGCTCGGACCATACTTATATATGTTTTGCCCGCTCCATACAAGTATCTTTTGGCTCGCTCCATACATGTAAATGACTGGCTAGCTCCATTCTTATATATGTTTTGGTCGCTCCATACAAGTATTCACTTGGCCCGCTACATATATGTATCTGCTTGGCTTGCTCCATACAGGTATCTGCTTGGCTCGCTCCATACAAGTACATTGTATCTGTTTGACCCGCTCCATACAAGTATCTTTTGGCTCGCATCATACATGTATATGCTTTTCTCGCTCAATACATGTTTTTGCTTCGCTCGGACCATACTGCGCTTGGCTCGTTCCGCACATGTATCTACTTGCCTCGTACCAAAGAAGTATCTTTTGGCTCGCTCCATATATGTATCTACTTGGCTTGTTCCAAAAAAGTATCTGCCTTGCTCGCTCCATACAAGTACATGGCATATGTTTGACCCGCTCCAAACATGTATCCACTTGCCTCCCTCCATACCAGTATTTGCTGGGCTCGCTCCTTACATATATACGTTTTGCTCGTTCCATACTTATATATGTTTTGCTCGCTCCATAAAAGTATCTTTTGGCTCGCTCCACACTTGTATATGTTTGGCTCGCTTCATACTGATATATGTTTTGCTCGCTCAATACACGTATCCTTTGGCTCGCTCCATACATGTATAAGTTTTGCTCGCTCCATACACGTATCCTTTGGCTCGCTCCATACATGTATAAGTTTTGCTCGCTCCATACACGTATCCTTTGGCTCGCTCCATACATGTATATGTTTAACTCGCTCCATACACGTATCCTTTGGCTCGCTCCATACATGTATATGTTTAACTCGCTCCATACACGTATCCTTTGGCTCGCTCCATACATGTATAAGTTTTGCTCGCTCCATACACGTATCCTTTGGCTCGCTCCATACATGTATATGTTTTACTCGCTCCATACACGTATCCTTTGGCTCGCTCCATGCATGTATATGTTCAACTCGCTCCATACACGTATCCTATGGCTCGCTCCATACATGTATATGTTTAACTCGCTCCATACACGTATCCTTTGGCTCGCTCCATACATGTATATGTTTGGCTCGCTCCATACTTTTATATCTTTTGCTCGCTCCATACACGTATCCTTTGGCTCGCTCTATACATGTATATGTTTTGCTCGCTCCATACACGTATCATTTGGCTTGCTCCTTACCTGTATATGTTTGGCCCGCTCCATACTTATATATGTTTTGCTCGCTCTAATAAGAATCTTTTGGCTCGTTCCATACTTGAATATGTTTGGCTCGCTCCATACTTGTATATGTTTGGCTCGCTCCATTCTTATATATATATTGCTCACTCCATACAAGTATTTACTTAGCTCCATACATGTATCTACTTGCCTCGCTCCATACAAGTACACTGTATCTGCTGGGCTTGCGTCTTACAAGTTTCTGCTTGGCTTGCTCCATACTTATATATGTTTTGCTCGCTCCATACAAGTATCCTTGGCTCGCTCCATACATGTATATGTTTGTCTCGTTCCATACTTTTATATGTTTTGCTCGCTCCATTTATTTACTTGGCTCGCTACATACATGTTTCAGCTTTGCTTGCTCCATACAAGTATCTGGCTTGGTATGCACAGTATTTGTTCTATTTACTTAAGGTTCAACAACTGTGTTTTGAAAAGACTTATTAGTAATAATTGAATTAGAATAATATAAGTTTGATGTATTTGATAAATTATTATTAATAATTCTGACGTTGACTAAAACCTTTTTTTATTTGTATAGACATTTGCGAAAGTACCAAACTGGGCTAAAGAGATTTTAGGCCAGGAACCAGAGGCCAGGACAGAGACTGACTGCCGAAGGCTTCACGCCCTCCTAAGGGGGCTTAAAAGCTTTGACAAGTTTACTGAGAAAATTCAACTGTCTATGTGTAGGGCTTTCCGTTATATATGGTAGGTATATGTAGGTACATGTACATCCAAGATTCACTGTTTTTCATTTTCAAAAATATCCTAACATTTCGGATGAAACCATCGCAACTGTTTCAAAAATGAACAATACGGTTAAATATTTTAATAAGTGTCGTTTGTTTGTTTGATTGTATGCTTGTTTGTTTGTTATTTGACGTCCTGGCAACAGCTGAGGATGTATTTAGACAGGTAGCGAGGGCGACAACAACGCAAAGAAAAGACTTGGTTAGATAGAAAAATGAAAAGTTATGTAATGGGGGCAGCGAATCAATTTCAGTATATTCAATGTCGTCTTAGTATACGATAATCGACTGTTACTTTGATATTATGAAGTGTTTATCTGTAAATGGTTCTAGACAAGGGATACAACGGCTGTAGCAGCCGATTTGTCGGCGTTCCTATCTCTAGTTTGTAACAAATCAAGTTTCCCTATACTATATCAATAGCATAATCTTTGTTCTCTCCCATAACAAACATTTTAAAGCAATCTGTTTGAGAGCTTTGAACCTGTTGACTTCTGACGTCACATACCGACTTTTGAGAAGACATTACAAATTCGATAAAATTTTGAATGACGATCATTCTGTATGATCAACAATAGATTGCAATCAATTAAATTATGCCTCTGAACAAAAGGAATGTTTTTAAGTATTGGACTTTATCCGTAAGGATTACAATTGGTGATTTGGGGTGTAAAACGAAACCAGCACTGCTTTGCTAAAACACCACATGCCTTATTTTAAATGTCTTGGATATTATTTCAGATATGTATGTATACCGTGGTTTATTAAATTACAGCAATATTGCTAAATGCGGTTGCCATAATCCTAACGACATTAGTTTCTTCTGCTGAAATAAGCCGTTATCTACCTTATGATATTTATGTTTATCAGAGTCGATGTTGGTTACATAGAATTTTTATACTAATCAGCAAGATATTTTTTATATCAAGTTTAATTATCCGTTCAAATGAATAATCGGAAATAGTGAAATCGAATTATGCTGCGTTCTGGGCCATGTCGGGATAAGTGGTAACGAAACATGTGATTGTACTGCATAATACATAAAATCATACAATTCTATCAACTGATTTTAAATAGATGTTTAAATCGGTTGACCTCAACAATGAAATGCATGTAATGAAGATAAAGTAAAAGTAAAAGATGCGGTTTTAAAATGATGACATGGGCGAAATGAGAAGTGCGTTATAGACCATCGAATGACTTTGATGCTTCACATAAATACATACAAATTGTTTTTGATCAAAGAAATGAACCCATTTTCGTCAGTACAGCCGAAGTTTGATTAAACCTTTTTTAAGTGACGTTTTACAGCATTTTGCTTTGTTTCTTAAACAAAAGAAAACATTTTGTAGATTAAGTGTGACCGTAGAAGCCTCCCCTAGTGGCATACCCACTCTCCTGGCCAGTTGCAAGTATATTCCTTTCCTGAACCTGCACAGTAAGCGTATGGTTTCAAGATGCACTGAGACCGCAAGATGCAGTAAAGCTGCAAGTAACTTAATTGTTTACTTTGGTGTATCCCTGACATTGCTTTATAAGTCTACTCTCTGTTTCAGTGTGGAAAACGGTCGAGTGATTCTAAGACGAGGACATGTTGGTTTTAATTTCTACTTTATGTACTCTGGATCTGTATTTGTGAATCTGGAAGATAGGAACATTGATGGAGATAAGTTTGAGAAAACTGAGACAGTCCTAGTCCGAGGTGATGCTTTTGGCGTAAGTTACCATAGAGATTTCTTGACAGAAAATGATCATCGAAAATAATTCACTGTCATTTCCCTCACCTCTCAGACTAGGGGAAAGGCAATACTATTTAGGATAATATACATTTATGATAGAAATAGAGAGCAGAAAAGTGTTGCTTTCATCTTACGTATTAAGAACAGAGAAAATATTTCCCCTTTAATGTATATATCTAATATACGTCTTACAATAAAAATGGATTGATTTTAAATATTAGTATAACCTCCGGTATCTGTCGCCAAATTTCGACAGTATTCATTACATGTACATGTACATGTATATTTAAAATTGCACGGGTTATACAATGATCGATATGTTATTATGTTTATCACGCTGTAATGGTATTAGATATTGCGTAAGAGGGATTTGTATCCCCGAACTGAACAGGAATAGCTATACAATACTCAGTTGTCATGAACGAATTCATATTTACTAAGTAGTTCTCTGTCTACTATCACCGTGAATTCACGAAATTATTATATTGCCACTTTTGAATGTTTTCCAAAATAGACACTTCATCAGTTATAAATAACAATTGTAAAACCGTCTTACACACAGGAGTTGGCTCTCCTACAGGACATTCGCCGGACAGCATCCATCACGTGCCGAGAGACATGTGAAATGCTAGTGGTGGATAAGGACACGTTTGCCAAAGTATGTCCTAAAATCTTTGAAGAGGAACTGGAGGAAAAAGAACGTTTTCTGTGGTTTGTATTGTATTGTGTTGTATAGTGCGTACATCGTGCACGTATGGTGCACACAACTGTGCGATTTAACAATCGTTTGCCCCGTTGTGCGCTTTTCTCCGCACGAATGTGCGAAATATTTGGTAGAATTGGTTGATCAATATTACGGAATGAAAAAAATCCGGAGCCATCGTATGGAATAAGGAAAACCGTATATCAATTTGATCATGATTTTGTTTAATTTTACAATGCGTGTTACACAGCGTTACAATGATCCTTAGACTGTCAAGCATACGAATTAGCTCCCAGGTAACAGAACAGGTAAATAAGATTTTGAAGATTGACCGGAGTGTTACCTGGCCTGTGCCTGACAAAGACAGTTGATATGTGATGCCATATGACCGTAATGAAAACACAACTGGACGTTAAGTATTTGTTATTTGCATTTGTTTCGGTCTATGGCACCATTTCGTCCGCACAAATATGCGCAAGCTAATAATCGTCCAGATTGTAATCGTTCGCACATCGTGCACACATCGTGCGAACATCGCGCGCACATCGCACATCGTGTAACGTTGTGCTTTCCCACAACTGTATATACTTGTTTCATTAGGGGATAACCCTTGCGGCGGTAAATCGTAAATATACTAATGAACTTGTATGTCACTCTTTTCCAAGCTTTCGGGCTTAGTCCTTCGTCAGGGATTAAATGTTACTGGACCTCTATGTCACATCCATCTTGACAACACAATGGCGTCATCAAACCATGACCTCACAAATTGTGACGTCATCATCATCATTTGGTATTGATACCATTGGAGAAAGCAGTGTTGAGTTTGTTAACCCAAAATTCCTCAATCACAAGCCTTTCTACTTTGGATTCCTCCTTAACCCTTTCCAGTACGCACACCCGCAAGTCCGATGTAGAATGACCTCTTCCAAGAAAGTGATGTGCCACCGGGTTATCTCTATTCAGCCGGATGTCCGCCACATGTTCCTTTATCCTTTCCTTCAGTGTACGCTCCGTCTCTCCCACATATACAGATATGTCACATTTCAAACATGATAAACAATATATAACATTACGGCTTTGACAGGACTGCCCATCTAGTGCCCTATATGTAGACTGGTAAGATGTATCAGTAGTTGTTTCTATGAGTCTATCACACACATCACAGTCGGGCGTACACGTATCCTTTGTTATCCGGAAACAGCGCTTCAACTTTACATGAGTTTCAATTTCATATGTGTTTTATGAACGAGTTTTATTTTGTTTTTCAACTTAGCGAGCCTCTGGTGAACTAAAGTGAAAAAATCCTGACGGGTTTCATAAATTTCATATGAAATGAAAACGAGTGAAAGATCCTTTTTATCACATAGTAAAGATTTGTTGTATTTATTCTTGTAAAACGACAGTTTTCATGCAACCTTAAAATGTAAAAAGCCGCAATTATGACTGAAGTACATAAGTCTGTGACGTCACGTATTTGTCTTAGGCGTGACGTCACAATTGAAACTTACAATTAACCACAGGGCTGCTAGGTCATATTACATAGGTTTATACGTCAATCTATGATATACGTAATTTTATATCAAGTGTTTTTTTCGATATTACCATTGGTTTATCTTTAAGCAGAGTAATGGGAATCCCGTTTAAAGTTGATTTTATTAATTTTATTTTTAATCAACAAATAAAGATTATCTAAACTTATATTTCCTGTCTTGTATACTTCAACCCTAATATTTCTAGGTCTAAAATAATTATTATTTATTTCCAGCCATTTACCGTTATTCAATAGCCGAGTATGGACTAAAGAAATGATAAAACGCATCTGTACCGAAGCTCAAATTCAGGAGGTAAGATGACTTCTGTGTGTTACACTTGGTGCCTTAATATTTCAAAGAATTAGTCTCCACATAAAAACCCTCTGCGCGCTTTCATTTGGGTCAACACGAGTGATAAGTTAGACAACTTGTTTACAAAGGTTGAAAATCAACAGGGTTGATATATTCATATAACACCAACTTATGTTGTTGTCCGATATGTATTAGATGTAATGAATACCTTAAGATAAGCTAGATAATTCTAACTAAACAACTTTTTATATGGTCCTTAAAATACTGGCACTAACGACGAGATAGTGACTGCTTAATGACGCTAGACTATATATGAGTTTATAGTTCATTGAGCCCTACGTTATTTGACAAAGACTTTAATTGGTGAGAGTAAAACACACTCAGGTTTACGTATGTCGGGACCTAATTATTATTTGATGTTTGATATTTGACTCCACCTTGTTCGAGTTTGCTGAATTCTACTACATCTTATACAATATGTATTTTTGCGGTAGTTTCTATATAACTGAGAACGAAAGAATGATATACGTATAATTTTTGTTACAAGATAACCTTGTTTTATTGATAATATTCTTCCAGACACATTCTGACGGTAGAAGGGGGTTCGAGAAAAACTTGATAGGGGAGAGCCTTGACATATATTAGTTTCATTTATTTCCACAATAGTTTTGTATATGCTGCATCAAATAAAAAAATTGTTTAAAAATGGAAAAAGTTTTCGGTTGTTTTTGACAATGTGACCAAAACCTGTAATTGTGAGTACAATCTCCAAGATTCTAACAGTAAATTAGATGGGATACTCTTTATTTACTTAGTTAGCCTTTATAGTTATCGACCAAAACAAAAAGGAAAGATTCTTTTGATGGTGTTTGCATATTTTTCAGTACAAGACTAACAAGGTTATCGTAGTTGACAGTGATGAAGAATGGATCTACGTCTGCATGGAGGTAAGGAAGACAACTTTATGTAAGGGAGATCACTTTATGTAAGGGAGATAACTTTATGTAAGGCAGATATCCAAATGCAAGGAAGATGGTTGAGGGAATAGGATACAATACTGTTTATCATTTATACAAATTGTTGTCATAAGATGAGAACACATATCTGCGCATTCAAACTGTGTCTGTTGTGTATAAAACAAAGGTATGATAATCCGAAACTGGCAATTCTTAGAGGTATTTTATATTTAAAGTGATGGAAACCGTGCTTGTTATTTTACCATGTCTTGTTCTTAGTTTATAACAACTGTAATGATAACTGTATGAACTCTCTTATAGTGGTCTATGTCTGTTTAAGAGTAGATTTAAACAAAGGTTAAACAGTGTAAAATGTCAGTATTGAGGTAAGGGAGATAACACTGAAATAAAATGTCTCTCGTAACATAATGTTATGTTAGGTGTTAATCGAAATGATGATAAAGTTCCGTTTAAATGTTTTCTGCGATGCACGGTACCATCGTTATTGTGTGTGTGTGTGATACGAAGGTCGATGTTTATGATAATGCTCGTAAGTGTGCATAGATGTGTTATTGCCATTACCTCGATTCCCGCTATGAGTCAATGTAATTGCTTGGATTCGAACTTGAATTACCTGTGTGTCGTCGATAAATCAACCGAAACTTATCCTCCTCCGGAACACTTGCTCTTATTTTCATTGCGTTTTTCAACGGTCTCTTTGTAAATTCTTCTTTAGTTTTATCGGTTTAGCCCTAACCCTAACCCTAACCCTAAACAGATACAAAATAATGATATTGTTGAAAGTTCTAATTCACTTAAAGAATAACTGACTATATCATATCATATACAAAATACATTATATGTTTGTAGGATATAGTTTGATTTTGTTTTGTGCTTTTAAATGTTTTGGACAGACGGTTTCTATAATCTTGAATTATCAATATATGACGTCACAATATGTCATTTATGAGATCATACACATAACAACAAAATCAAGTGCTAAAATAGGTTATGGTACATGATAATTATGTCGTTTAACAATCTGAATCTGCACATCTTATTAATACCAATTAAAGTTTCTTGAAAGATTTAAACAAAACATTTCCAAGATTTCATATGAGCATGCGTATGCTAAGAATTTTCCCCAGTGAACATGTGGCACCTTTTATTTATTTATTTTTTTTGCAAGAAAAATATATGGATACGTTATTTGATATTGTTATTATTTTATTTGTCATGATAACTAAAATATATGTCATTACAAAAACAACATAGACCGTCAAAGTGCTATCTTTCTAAGAATGTCCTCTTCCTGATATTTCTTATACAGGGGAAATGTCAGATCATAAGGAGAGTGGCATTAGACTTGAAGTCTAGTCATAAGAAGAAATCATCACTTGCGAAACGGCCGTCTACCCCAATGTTATCTGACGAGGTCCTGGATATCCTTGGCAAGCTTAAAACAATACAGGACAACAAAAGTATGCCTTATTTTTATCTGGTTATCTTTTATGTATTTGTTGCATAAACTCCAATGAATATTGATTTTCAAAATAAATTAGAAATAATAAATCTATTGCAGGCGAAATTTGTAAATTTGTGCGTTAAAGTGCACCTTTCTCTTTGTCTGTATTTCTTATATGTTCTGGAAGACTGAATGCATATATTTTTATTATGTTGTAAATTAAGTTACCACTTAAAGAGTCTACATTAGCTTTATATTTGGCTTTTGACTTCATATTTCTGGTACTTATTTCACATAGGGTAAAACCGTTGATTGACGTATAATGAAATGGTAGTTATACAATGTATTCGCTTTTTGTCCTGATGAATGGATTACGTAGTAGAATTATTTTTATCTTATTTATAGAATGCTACGGTCGTTGCCAAGACGCCATTTCAACATCCCGGATTAAAGTATTTGATATGAGTCAAGCCATACTTTGTCTTGGGTAGTTACAAATGTAGTAGTAACCATGGTTACCTAATAAATATGTCTGATACTTCATTACATATTTCAAAGTTAAGATTCTCAGGTATGTTACATTATGTCAGCAGTGTTTGCATCACATGTGGTATCATATTAAAATGGGACTTTCTGTTGTTGCTTTTCTGTTATAGGGACGGATATTAAAGCCATACATATGTACGGTACTTAGAATAATGTCTTTATGCATAGTATTATGTTATCTATGATTATCAGATAAGCAAGAAGCAGAATCAGATGATTCGGATGATGAAATCGGCAAAGAAAGAATGCTGGATTCTATGTCCCTGGAATACCGAAGAGACGGCAGGGTAACTGGATTTATAAAACTCCATATATATGTATATATACATAAACAAGATTTTGCTTCAAAGACATATTCCACAGTTCTCTATTGATCTTAATATTTTACTGGAAAATGACAATTTCAGCTATTGTTTTATTTTCGGCTTTTGCACTCTTGAATTCAAAATGAAGCAAAATATCATAAAAGTGTGTAAAATTAGCAAAACCTCTACATATGCGTTATCGAAGTCAACACCAGTTTTTTGTACTACTACGTGCAAAAAGTTGACTGGTCGATTTTATAACTGTTTCGTTAATGAGAATAAGACACAACATCACGATTGAACCATAATTAGGTGGATGAAGTATGAGGTCTATGATGCCTTAAGTAGAAGTAATTGAATGTCTTACTCAGAGCTACAGAATATGTCTTTTTCTAAATATCATCATCATATATAGCAATGCATATTACTATATAATCGAGCATGATGCAAAACAATATTATACAGTACTGTAACATTTAGTAGTGCTTCCTATATTTTGTATACAACATATATAAATAACCCATATTTCCAGAATTGTCTTACTTTGGTATATCGGCTAACTTTCGGATAGATTTATTACATAGTATGTAGATCGAAATCGGGCAGCCATTTATATAAACACATGCACTTGGATCACTTTTATTTTGCGATTTTCTTCCAATAAAAGACTACCGGTGATTTATACCCATGAACGTAAACGAAAACAATAATATTTTCATTACTCAATTGTTTTTATGTGACCATCTGTTGAAATACTTTAAATCGTAGTCGGGTTTTTTACGGAATCAATGCGAATTTGTCGATCTTGCAAAATAAAAGTGATTTAAAGTTTTAAAAAATCCCTATAAGCGTATCAAATAACAATGTATGTATTTATACATATATCTAAATGATGCATAACTTCTTTTACAAACCAGACAAAGGACTACATTAGCTCTCTATTGGAACAGGTATGACATCTTGGCACACCCCTCCCCCGACCTGTTATCTCCTTATTATATTTTCTTCCCATAGATAAAAAGCCTGGTCAGTTTTCAGTTTTCTTAAAATATAACTATCAGAACAGCCAAGCCAAGCTTATTATAATGTAGACTCGAATTAACCGGAGCTGCAAGTGATGAAATGTTGATGTATTACTCGCAAAAATTCTTTTTTTTCTGTCTGATATCCCTTTTTACGATGCTGTGCGATCGATTGCAAATAAAATCAATTGTGTATTCTGTGAATACAATATCAATAGCATATGTTTTAGTAAAACTCGATCTTTCTACAAATGTCGAACTCCCCACGAAGTCATTTATAGCTTTATTGTCAACCTAATGTATCTGAAGTAAAATGACGAACTTGAAAAACGCAAAAACTATCATCAAACAAAAAATCATAAATGATGTTGTCAGTCGTTAGCTTACCAGGCTTTTGGCCAGCAGTCCCCACGTTCACCACAAAGTAGTAACGAAATTGCTCAACAATTACATTCGCTCTTTCTTTTCTTCTTTGTAATGGTGAAGCACATTGCACGTTTTTCTTTTCTACTTTTCCTGTGTTATTATACAGATGTAGATGGTCCAATCTGTGTGTTTCTAATGTCTTGTGCATGAATTTCTTCCTGAAAATTTGTTTTCAGTGCACATGTGTGAATAGTACAGACAATAAAAGTACAGTCCATACGTGTATCTGTGCTAGTTACAGTTGAAAAGTAAATGATTTTGAGCTTATTGGCTTTATAAGCCGCCAGTTATTGTTGCTAAATTGTAGATGCAGCGACTGAAGGTGTGTTTTATGTTTCTTTGTTGTCAAATTATTTATAGTTCCTGGATAGTAACATTGATTATTTGTATGATAAACAGTAGATAGATCCAGTATTCAATCCATACATTTGTTCGTTTTTTGATATTTTGTTTTCAGGTGTTCAATTTTGGAACATTTATAATTCTAAAAAATGCACTGCAAGATTGATATGTATATTGAATAGTTCTTATTACAAACGTTTTAATATAAAGAAAAAACTTCTCTTTGTGATAATAGATATTGTATTGAATTTTCAAAAAATAAATCGTTCCGTTCAAATTAACAATTACGATGATAATGAGATATTTTAACGTGGAAGTTACACATCCACATTCTATATATGAATATATGTGTGGTCTGATAATAGTTGCAATACAAATTGATGGGTGGATTGGTGAGGTGGCACTATAAATTATACTGTTGGTTGGAAACGCGTATCCACTACAAACAAAACACAATACATCTCAAACACACACGCAGGCATACACACATAGGGAGATATTAGCCAGGTGACATAGGAATAGTAGTTAGCGCCTGGTAAGGCAGCTCCTACGAATTCCTCAAAATGGTATTAATTAATATATATGCTAATTGTATTGATTGTATGAATTGTAAATCTATGTACTGTAAAGCGCTTTTGAGTGGCTTATTCTAGCAAGATAGGGCGCTATATCAAATGCATAAAAATATTATCATGTATAACATGGACATTTTGATAACTGCCATTCAAAATGAAAACTAATGCAATAAAGCATCAAAGACTTTGTCTTTTTAAAGACTTTTCTTTAATATCTTGTTGAGCAAGCAGCTTAAAATAATGGCAACTGTTTGAAATCAGTATTATTTGTATGATGAATAAATGATACCCTAAATAAATCAGAAATAAAGATATATATATTACTGATATTATTTACAGCGTCGCCGGTTAATGAAGAATCCGGACAAAGACGCTGTCATAGAGAAAAAGGAAGTTATGGCAATTAAAGGGACGATAACCCTCACATCACTTATGGCACAGAACAAGAAAAGTCCTGACGGGAAAGACTACGTTTATTTGAATATCGGCGAGTTACATAGCAAAGACGTTTTCGTAAGGATTTTTCTTTTTCAGTTAAGTAGTATGGTCAATAGAGAAATATATCAATTATTGCAATGTGCATGATAACTCTTTTACATATAATCCAAAGGTTTGAGTAAAGTGGATTTTATTTATCATCTGTTTATTTACATTTACCTTCATAATATCATTACGATACATACGTGTTGTGATACCATCACATCATTTGGTCATTTGACCACTATCATGACGTCACTAATCTGATTGCAACATCACTGAATTTTTCTGTTTCAAGAACCTTACGAATTGACGTTGGGAGTGCGAAATAACAAAATAAATCATAAATTTTGTATCTGATCTCATCATAAACAATTCATATTTTTACAATCGGCATTAAGGTCCCATATCACACATTGACAATTTTGTCAAGTCCCTTATCAAATTTATCAGTTATAGAAATACGTGGTATAGCACCATATCACTATATGATAAGAGATTAATTGCTTAAGTAATGAAAGCATATATATCACAGAGTTATGTTTGTGTAAGGAATGATCGTACGTGTCGACTATATTGAACAGTGGCCTCTTGCTGAGTGTAAAACCAAACACCTAACATGTTTTTGCATCGCCCATCCTTTCTTCCGTTGTTCTGCTTTGGATTCTCCTAAAATACTGTGTCATTAACTTTTTTTCTACCAATTGGCATATGGGTCATATAACCTAAGTTCCGATGAATAGTTTCAACGTTAATGCATAATTAATAGAATAATTAATTAATTCTGTATCTGATTATATATTGGAATTAAATAATAAGAAATGTATTTCTTACTAAAGCACTACTAAAGTGCGCTTAATTTTAAATATGCATTGTAAAGGAATTTAAGAAAATAATCTTTTTTTAAAAACACAACAATATACCAACTTCATGCTGTTTTTAGAGATTGAAAAAACAGGGGTTTTATAGATCACTTTTAAAACAAATGTGCACATATTGTTCTGCACAAATTAACCATATATCTCCTTGAATATTAATCCGTCTTCAAATTTAACAGTATGGTGCAACTTATACATATATCTACATTCTGTATGCTTAGACCCATTGACAAAAAATACATTCATAAATGCATAACACAGGTGTTCATAGAATCTCAGCACGTGGGAACTGATAGTAACCTGATCACACTGCGTAGTAATACACTACAAAAACTACTCACTCGGAACGACCGACCTAGATGCTTAATTCTTACATCTTAAAATATTATTGAACTGTGCTTTGTGAAATATCCACGTATTCACGTGTCCTGTGCTACAAATAAACATTGAATATGGAACTACATTTTGTTGTGTTATTGTTGTTGACGGTTGCTAAGATCTCTCACGATAGTGTCACATTTCCCCGCGAAAAAACACTGTTCTCGCCACTGCGTTGCACCCGTGTATAAGCAGGAACAAACCCTGTTTATTTGTTTTATTCGTTGTTATATCGATCCACTGAAAGGATTCGTCAATGTAAATATAAGGAATGATATTTATTTTTTCAACATTTATGAGGTCATAACAACAATGGGTTTTTGGACATATTTTACATGAATCGCTAACGCGATTCATTCAATAGGTCCATAAACCCATTGTTGTTATGACCTCATAAATGTTGAAAAAATAAAAATCATTCCTTAAGTGTAATATCAGAAATGAGATATCTTATTGAATATCATATGGATGCAAACATCTTTCTTTTATAGAAGTGCGGAACAATTGTCAATTAACATTGTAGGGTTTCGAATTAAAAAACAAATTTTCATTTTACAGGACTTGTTCTGCATCATGTATCCGTCCCGGCGTCCTGCCAACAGCACTTTGATATTAGTCAGTCTTGGTTCCCGGATGATGAGAATCAAGCGGAAGAACTTCTTCAACACGACAAGCCACGATGCTCTACTGCATGCTAAACGATTAGCCAAAAAAGAAAGGTAAATACTGTACGGCCAGTTTCACTTTCACGTTTACTGCTTCCAAGTCAGTTGATTAAGGATCGTAAAAACCCTTTGTCGTTTGTTCCAGTAAATCAGCTGCTTAACTAACAAGTCACTTAATGATAACTTGTTTTTTTTCTATGGATGCACCCATACAATGTATATTATCTTAGAGTACAACAGTTACAACTAGCAAAAGTTAAAAAAAAATATGAATACCAAGCATATATTATGATAGCAAAAGTGTCATCGTTGTTCTTACTTTAGCGAAGTTGCCATTATCTAGTCCTCGTCAGTACCAGCTCAAGATTGAAAGGGATCTATCTTGAGCATTTCTATCCTATAATTATAGTTTAAGAATCAGACCAAATCAAAGACTCTAAATTTGTATATTTGGTCGAAAAAATTAGATGCAGTAGTCCTCTATTATATAATATACGGTATATGATTATTTTAATAGTTTTCATTTCATATGACTGATGAAAAGAGTCCTCAACATCATATGATTTGAGTCGGGTTCAAGCTGTTTATGTTATATTACTTGTACAAAGAATGTATTTTCATTTTCTGAAAATTGACGTCATGTCTTTGTTTCTTATATTTTACGTCATAATTGAAGTAAAAAGAAAACAAACAAAAAACAAATACAAAACAAACAAATCACATAACTTGTCAAACATGTAGGTGATTTTGGTAGCCTGATTAAAACATTTATGCCTAATATTTATATTTGGTTATTATTATGCTGTTTAGATACCCAAGTGAAGAAATGCTCTTAAGATCGTACCGAGAAAAGACAATGTGGGATAACTACAAATCACATGTGGTCACAGAAATTGTTGGACCACACTTGAAGAAAAATGGCAGATTCTCCAACATTTCCAAAGATCAACTCAACATCATGAAAGAACGGAACGAACAGAAGGAAATTTTGTTATCAACTTTAAAACGAAACATGGTCATTTCCAAGGCGACGAAGACAGAAGACGATGAAAATGATGGCAGCAGTGATGAAAAATACAATTATGGCGATACCATTCCACAGCAAGTTTTTGTATTACCTCATCAGCTGAAGATACACGTGTCTGTCGAACCGATCCCATCAAACCTTGCAGTTGGCAGGAGAACTTCCGTTTTAACAAAGCCGGGTTTCATTCGGGAATCTCAAGGAATTGAAAGATCGAAAACAGATTTAAAGACAGTAAATTGTTCTTAAGCTGTTGATATACTATCTACAATCTGATATGACACTGACAGCAAGATCACCAATATCAACGTATTTAGTAACATATTTTCTATTCATTTTTTGACACGTGTACATCAAATGATAACTAAAAGGATTGAATAATAGACAAGACTTTCAATCAAGATTCAAGTATCGAAACTTACATCTTTAAGAGGGTATATGTTGTTATTGTCTTAGTGCTTAATCTTAAGCAGTAAGTCAAGTACACTGCTAAAATAAGACTTTGTTATTATAAGCAATCGTACATGTATATAGTACATACACATTTCATTCGGTGCTTTATTGTCGATTTTGGTTGTGGTTTTATTTTGCTTCTTTAAATTAAAAATAGGCAGAATAATGATTAATGTTATTTCCGATGTACCAATCTCTTGCCTGTTGCGATAGTGATACTTCACATTGTAAAAAAAACAATAGAATTATATATTCTGTCACTAAAACTTATTAAACAGTTGGTGAATCATATACATAAGCAGTGTACTGTACAATCCGTGAAATTGTACGAAATCAGAAAAAAGTTTTTTCCAATTTAAAAAACTCATTGCAACTGTAAAATTACTCAAAAAGTCTGCTATCGCAACATCAAAAGCAATTGTAATTGCAATTGTCATTTTGTAATTCCGTTGTGGATATCTTGAATATCTTTAGTTTGTTGCTTTTATATAGGTAAAGTGCATATAAATCCGGTCTCTGGCAAAAAAAAAGTTTTTTTTGTTTTATTTACCATAGAACTTACATGGAATAGATAGTTTATTTATTATTCCGGCAAACTGGTCAATGTAGTTCTTTTTCATATGTCTGGTTATTGGTTATTGTGCTTAATACAACAGATACGGATTTCACTGAGACAGGATTCTTGTTCAAATCGATTCGTGGCACTGTCAGAAAAAAAAAAAAGAAAAAAAAATCTTTGTTACATCAAAAAATTAATTAAGTTCTTTCTACTTTTGAATACCCGTCCTTTCAATGTTAAGGAAAGAACATTTTGGTATGGTATGGTATTCCAAGTATTATTGAGTGCTTTGACGGGTTTTCTTAAAGCAATGTACAATATTTTTAAAGTAAGTCTTTATATCAGTCATGCTTTAAATAGCCTTCAATATGTTGAAGTTGCTTTTCCACTACTCCCAATTTCGTACTTATGAATAGCTGGAAACTTCAAGACCTCTTCTACATCATCTGCTTTCCTTCTGGATATTTCTTAACAAAAATTGGATTAATTGGGAATTCTCGCTATTGAAAGACGGCACATTGCAGAAACATATAAAGGTTCTTTGTTACCATTCTTGATAAGCTATTTGATACAGTTAGCCTGACATGAAGCGGAAACAATGCTGGTAAAGGAGATATACAGGTTGTTCCCATATGAATGTCAACAGTCTGCTGGAAAATCTTGCAATCAAACTCAAAAAAGATATTGTCAAGCAGATAGAATTAGTCACACTCGGAATCCTCAGAATATTTCATTTGATGACAGTGGGTTGATTTACGTACTGTGTAAATGTAATATGATTTAAAACATTCACAACTTTCTTCTTTCGAAACAATGTTTGCCTTTTGCTGAAAAGAACCCTTACATAGTAAGAGAATGAAGGCATTCCTTCCGTTTCATATGAGGTATGGAACACGCAATGTTCATGGTAGACATGTAGAATGTTCTGATTTACAAAGAAAAACAGTTTTTAGGTAAGAATAATTCGACTTAATCAAAACTTTACTTTCGAATCCCTCAAATCCGCATACCATTAATTCCAGTTCTGTAGTATAGCATGTCATAATTCGACGGACATTATGTAACCCTGATTTAAATGGATTAAGAATGATATTGCATTGTCGAACGCTATATTTTATCACAGAAGGATATTGATATCCTTTTGAATGTAAGAATTTGTCCTATAATTTGTGTATAATAAGTTGTCATAATTTGCAAGAAATTGCTAATTCATTGGTGTTTTAAATATATGGTTTTCACTGTTAAAAACTTAACAAGTGTGTTAGAGTAATTTACTCACCATGGCTTGAAGCCTGAGCCGTTAAAACACTGTACTGCTATTAATTTAGTAGAATTAATTGACAACACATATTGTTAATTAACATTGCAATAAACAACTTGTTAATGAAACAACACATGTTTTAATGTATCTGTGCTTTTAGTTAGACACCCGTGCATGTATGTTAAATAATTAAATATTGGCTGAACTTGATTAAGTCGGATAAATATATTCTTAGGTCAGTATATGAAACGTAATCACATAAACTTAACTTCGCGTTGCCAAATCAAAACTTTGATATTGACAGTAATATATCTATCTGGTTTTGGTGATGCATAGTTTTATATCACTACGAGGAAAATGAAAATGTATGCTTGCAACGTTTTGGGCAGCGTTTAGTGGATAATTGTATGCAAAAACGGAACTTATTTGTCAAAAACACGTCAAAGGAATTTTTGTATATTTTTTCATACAAAGTTTTAGGTTGGAGTATTATTTGGTTAAGTATATTCCGGATGTTTACCTTGCATTTGCTTCAAAATTCGATAGTGGTGTCATCAGTAATGTATTGAAGCAGGAACATATTGTATCACCCAAAGAGTGAATATGTATTAAGTACATAATCATATGGTCTACATTCGTTTCCTGGTACATAGGATAATTCTTATCCTCCATTTTATAAATATATTTGAGTTGTACAATGTACAGAGGACCTTTAAATACAAACATACTGTCTATCTTCCATTGTCGTACATGTATATGTCTCGTAACGAGAATGCTTAAACATAATTACGGTCAGTATGGGCTTCTTTTGATACATCATGTAAAGGATAATAATAATAATAATAATAATAATAATAATAATAATAATAATATACAGCATTTATATAGTGCGCTATATAATTTGTAAAATTACTCTAAGGCGCTTTACAACATATGGATAATTGTAATGGTTATAATTGTGAAAACAAACAACAAAGGCTTGCAATCACTTTCATACATATAACAAGCAATGTGCACATAATTGAACAAATAAAAGGGTGGTATTTACATGACGTCTTTGCAAAGATTCTAAAATGCAGACGTGAAGAGGTGAGTTTTTATGTCCCTCTTGGACTTGGCCAGGGTATTTGACTTCCTTATAGCAGATGGTAAGCTATTCCACAACGTAGCCGAAACCCTCCTAAAGCATCTGTTTCCGTAGGTCGCAGTACGGGATTTTGGGACACACAACAAAGATTCTGACTCCGACCGCAGTGATCTTGACGGCTGATACATGCAGGGTAACAAGTTCCTGTAGGTACTGAGGAGCTGTTCCATTCAGTGCTTTGTATGTGTATACCAGAATTTTGTACTGCGACCTGTATCGTACAGGTAACCAGTGCAACGAATAAAGCGCAGGTGTGATGTGCTCTCTCTTTCGAGTACGAGTAACTAGCCGTGCTGCAGTGTTCTGAACCCTGAAGGAGGTTATGTCCATGTCATTGTATAGGGTCTTACCTATGTCATAGTTATCATTATGTATATATTGTAATAATATGTCTATGAGCTGCAAGACTTAACACTTATAAATAATACAATACCGTATAAACCGATAAATGTGAGTGATATATACTTGACTCTCGGGCCACTGTTTCATTTTATAGTGGGTAGGCATCAGGTCACGTGTTACATTTTGATGTGGATGGGCCTGAGCTTTTAGAGTCGGGTATTTCGAATTATTTGAGTTTAAAAAATCATAATGCAAACCACTCGTGACACAGTCGTATATAATATTTATTCTTTTTTTTGTTCAAGATCTGTTGATATATATCAAAACGTATCTTTTTTTCTAAAATTGATCATTAAAACATACATCTGATTCATTATGTTAGACTTGTTCACATGTATGTGCCTAACATACGCTTAATTTTATTTGACGGAACGTTCACCAGAAAAATAACAGATATTTACTAATGTTACAATATGATGGATTATTTTACTTTCATAACTGTTTCTGTTAGTTCTATACCTCTCCCACAGTAAACAGTCATCCCAAAGTTCAAGTTAATTGATCCCATAATACCGCTTAAATTGAAATATAAGCAACCATCGAACCACCATCCCAAGCCACGAGTGGAACAGTTTTGTGTATCCGGTCTGTCAGGAGTGGCACACCTGTAACCGTTATTATACAGTAGTCTTTCTCCGTCTGTACAATTCACAGTCGTATCACCGGAAACTGACAGCTCGTATGACGTACTGGCGTTCTTCACCTGAAACTGATCGTAGCTGTATTGTAATAATTCTCCTGACGTTGACCCCCCGCGACGTCAGCACGTGAATGTATTCCAATCCGAGCCAGAAATCACCACGTAGATCACCGAAACCAGTGACGTAATCAGTCCAGCTTCGATTGAAGCTGACTGAACCATTAAGCCGGTGTTGAAGAACAGTCCAACCTCCTCCATCTGTCATGTCGCAGACGACGTCCAGGGGTTGGTGAACCGGCCGGGTCTATGGTATAAACACATGAGGTACGCTCTCTGTTGTTGTACAACTCGTCACAACCTTCACCAAGTAAAATGTACATGTAACGAATATATGTTATGTCCAAGCATCACTCACGGAGAAAGGGTTACGGAAAACAAGAAAACCTGATTCCCATATTAATTTATTTATATCAAATTATCAATTTGGAGTTTGGAGCGAGTGTTGATGGGATGGATCAACTTGGTAACGCCAAACCTGCATTAAATTTCTGTAAACAACTATTAGATTGACATTGTTTGATAAGATTACAAAACATTGTTTTAGGTTGAAAACAAATATCTTTATTTAGAATCCAAGTGGCTTTTTGCCTGAATATGTAACTGAATATCAATACGCTATTCGCGTGTTCCTGTTTGCAAACAATATGCTTCGTCTTATTCTTGGACAGGAACAACAGGGTAAGAGAAAAATAGTCATTCACCCCCTCGGGGATGAGATAGGGGGATCTCAACCCTCGGGGGGAAAGATTCTTAAGTTGCCAAACACTCGGCAAAGCCTCGTGTTTAGCAAATTAAGAATCTTCCCCCCTCGGGTTGAGATCCCCCTATCTCACCCCCAAGGGGATGAAAGATTTTATTAATCTATACCCTCCAGGAGGCCTTCTTGTAACCATTCCTGTCAGGAAATTAGTTCAGGCATGTATCTTTTTTTTACCAATGTTTACCTTAGAATCATCTCGAATGAGTGAATAAAAAATGCTGAAACTTATGAAGTCCTGTCATATGTTTTTTTTATTCAAACAGGCTAAAATGGTATTTAATTATATAAGATAATGATGTCTTGTGAGGCTAAGTTATGTTGAATTGCACAGAAACATTTTTCATTTCTTTTGTCTACTTTTACTCTCAAAGTGTCTTACTGACCAAACCAGCATATGACCCCAACGACATGATTACAGAGAGAAAATGGACAAATTCTTCACGAAACAATATAAACGTACGTCTAATCGGAAATAATAGCAATTAATAAAGGCCTTTATTATTCATACAAAGTTCATGTTGAACGTTTCTTTGTTAAAATTGTGATAAATTGATGTTATTAGTGTTCAATACTGTACAGAAAATATCATGTGACAAGCATATTAATTGAAACTCATAATATTTGACTAAAAGCGGTTTATATCAGCGCTCTCGGGTTTTGCGCTCCATGTACACATATGGCAATACATATATGTCAGAACAAAATTAATATATTTTGTTTTAGCGCTTATCGGTTTTGTTTACAGGGCAGGGGACGCTACTGGTGCCGAAAAATAATTCCGTTTTAGCCGGAGTTGTCCTTCTTTATTTAACATCACGCATCCGTGGATGAAATTCTTCTCGTCTGCTGATGTTGTTCCCACGTGTGGCCGGGTCTGCGTTGAATTGACAAAACCACCACCCTCACCTTCATCCTTTGTTATACTGATTTGATTATCATGTATGGATGTAGTTTGTTTTATTTTTTTTATGTAGTAGATGGGCGTGTTTTTATCCCCATCTTTGTAGTCCTGGGTATATTATAATGTAATCTCTGATTGGATAATATCATGTAACAGTTGATGTGTTATACTGTTACATAAAAGAATACTGTGTAATCGTAATATTATATGTCGACATTTCTTATTTAAATAAATGGCAACTTCAGTCAATGTATGCTATTCTATGATATGTACGTTAACCCAGGTTACAAACGTAGCACATCCTTCGACCGATGCAGCGCTAAAACATATTAGTGCAATTCTGAAATAAATCGTCGACTCGATCTTCAGGCAAAATTCTTCAATGATAGCGCTGTGTAAAAAACACACAAAAGACGTTCAAATAAAAAACACATATTTTAACATGTACATCAACAGTATTAAATATATCGCCATTAATTTTAGGACTATCATTGGATAATTTCATGGGTTATATTTTGTATTGTGTTGTCTTCCAGACTCCGTTCCTTACCTCCGGGCTACTATCATTGACTCGGAGAAATATTACTCCATGAAGCCGTGTCCTACGCGCACTTTTCCTCCATGAAGCCGTGACCCGCGGGCACTATTCCCCCAAGGGAACTTTTTGCGCAAGTTTTAATGTTTGAAATGAGACATAATGCACTAAATCTATTATGGTCCATTCCCTCGAAAACAGTTCTCTTAAGGCGTTGTCTGGGCAAGAATAGTGCCCTCACGTGACTACTCGGGCATCGTAACTCTACAGACATCAACACTGGAGAACAGCTCTTCGGGAAAGGACCTTAAAAGAATTATAAATTTCGACGGGAAATTCACATTACTATGTATTTGATTGTGTGTTTCTCTTTACTAATATAACACCGTACACTGTAATAGTATTAAACACCGTTATTTCTGAGCTTATACGAACATAGATCGAGATTATAATTATACTTACTCCTTTTCGTCGGCATCCGCTTGAGAACTGATGTCCAAATGAAACTGTTCCATCAATAGTGCAAACCTAGGAAAGGTAATATACTGTAAAACTGACATGCTAACGGAATAAGGACTGGCAGCCCTAGTGACTTTATCACTTATGATCTACTGTGTATTACTTTTTTTAAATCACGGTTGTTCTTTTCAATATTGAACGAAGATGTTAAT